CCACCATCTGTTTCTAGAACTTGCCCATCCTGAAAAGAAACTGTACTCATTCAACAATTACTCCCTGTTCTTTCCTCTTCCCTTGTAACCCGGTGACCATTATTCTCCTTTTTGTATCTATACATTTGATTACTCTAGGTACTTCATAGAATTGGAACCATACACTGTTATTTTTGTGACTGGCCCATTTCACTTAACATGACGTCCTCAAGACTCGTGCACGTGATAGGCAGCACATACGGGCCGGAATCTCCCGGCTTTCTAAGGCTGAACAGCATTCCAGCGCATGGACAGACCACAGCTCGTTTATTTGCTCGCTGATGGACAGGTTGTTTCCGCCGGTTGGCTCTGTGGATCACGCTGCCGTGAACATCAGTGTGCTGAGAGCTGTTCAAGTCCCAGCTTTCAATTCTTCTGGGTCTACGACCACAGATGCTGGAGCACAGATGATTCGGTTTCCCTTCAGGGCCGGTCATGCTGTTCTCCACAGTGGCTGCTCCAGGAGTGCCCCAGAGTTCCAGTATCTCCATGTCCTCACCGATAGTTGGCATTTTCCATTTTGGGGGAAAATATTTAAAGGTGGAACTGTGGGAATGCTGGGAATAGAGCTTATTCTGTCAGCGAGTCTAGAGAAGGACATTCGGCCTGAAGCAGTTCTTATGCTCTGTTTGGCAGCATCACCTCTTTATAAACCCCTACTCTGTCACCCACTGACAGGCCGGAGACATCAGGGATGAGGCACCCTCCTGGTGACTGGCCACTCCAGTTTTCCCAAGGAGGGGAGAGGGAGAAAGGCCGGGCACATTTGGACTTTGGGTATGAGTTTCCTCATACCTCCACGCCCGCCATGTTTTCAGTCAGAATGAAGTTGCCTTTTCATCTACCCCAGGACGCTCTTCCAGAGAACAGGGAAGCTGCGGGGCACCACACGCTCACAGTGTGCCCCAGTGAGGTGTGTCAGGACCTCCCCTCTCCCTCATTCCCCTGGCTATGGAAAACTGTCACTTGAGCCCTTAGGAGAGGGTGCAGGGCATGTGAAACATGAGGTCCCAGCACAGGCCGCCATCTTGTAAAGGCTTTATTTCTACTTCATCATTGTCTCATACAGACTCTGAGGCACCATCCTTTGATTCAGTGTGGTACCCTCCTGACTTTTTGTAGTGCTTTTCCTTAAACAAGAAAACTTTGAGTAAACACTGCATATTGCCAGTTCATCGTTAACAATAATTTAAAAATGCCATTGCTGTTGTATCTCAGTGCAAGAGGACAACGATAAAACTACAGTACGAGGGATTCACAATGTATTACGGTGGGACAGGTGACTCACACTTAGGCGATGGCAAGACCACAGCAGCAGTATGTACAGGCACCCCAGCGCTTCAAACCCAAAGACGTGCAAGTTGAGTAGAGTACGTGGATTATACAGCGAATTTGGTAAGCCCGGCTGAGGACTCTGTACCTTTTCAAGAATGCGGACATGTATCCCCTCACATAGAGAGGATGTCGGTCTTGTCGACTGGCTTCATGGCTTTTTCACTACAAAAAGTTCACTGAATCAGACAGTCTGAAGCATTTCAAGAATTCTTAAAAACCCAAAACACTGACAAAATAAAATTAACTTAACACACCCTAATTCAACGTGGATTTAACCAAACCAAAGTGTAACAGTGCAAATTTAACAGAGAGGCAGCCAGTATCGAGAGCAAGGGTGTTCAGAATCTCTTAAAATGTACATCTTTAAAACTTTTATTGTTTAAATTTATTTATATCTTATCTAGCTTTTTTTTGTTTAATATACTGTGTGTAAAAAAGATGGAGACAAAAATAGTTTTCTGAGCTATGAAAAAAATTAAGTTATTACAGGCACGTTTACGGTTTCGTTCTGGAAACATCTCAGGTTCACAGGTTGGACATTCAGCAGCTGTGTGTTTTTTAAAAACATTCTTTGACCTTGGGAAAGCTAGATCTCTCCTTGTGGGCGGAGCTTGGTTGATGACGACAGTGTGGTTATGCAAATTACAGGGAATTATTCCCTGATAATCCATGCAAACTTGCACTCGTCACAGGTGTGTCTTCTCCCCGGGTGGCTCCTCGTCGCCGAGCTCCTCCAATGAGGCTGGGTCTCCGGGTGACTGAGCCGGTGAGGCAGTGGGGGAATGTGAGGCCCAACGGGACGGAGGGCGACGGTTTGCTGGTCTCTCGGGCCTGGAGAAGCAGGGTTCTAGGGATGGAGCTAGTGCGGAACAAGGTAGTTCCTTCAAAGCCGAGAAAGAGAAAGACAGGGTTACTCACACCGACAGGTCCTCTGGATTGGGGCGGGGGAGCATGGGGTGAGACTCTCCTCAAACACACTTCTCAACAGACTCAAGTTCAATGCAATGGGTCAGGGGCAACTTCAGAATGTTAATTCATATTTTGCTCCAGGAGAATAACTTAAAGTGTTAAGTGAAAAATTCAGCACAGATGATCAGTGACATAGTAATGAGAAGATAGCAAAGTATGATCAAAACATGGCAATGCAATGAGATGGGTTTTTACATAGCGTCTTCCAGATTGGGCTGGAGCCTATGGAGGTGGGAGAGCCACCGGTCACCTGGTCACATCCTAACCCAGTTGACCGCATCCTTTTGGTCTTCCTGAATGATCTAATAGCCATAGTGACCTGGCCCTAACAGGCCAGCCTCCCTACGCTTTGGTCTGTTGGGAGGCCCATGAAGAGACCCATGATTTATCCAGCTGCATTAGCAACAAGACTCACCTTAAAACGAACTCTGCTACTGCTTATTCTAAGTTGACTGGCAGTGGGTTAAACAAACTCCCACGGCATGGAAAAAAAAAATGCTGCAGGCAGAAATTTTAACTTCGTTCTGATTTTCTTTAATGATTCTTCCTTGCTGCAGCATTTTAAAAAAGTGGAAATCATAGTGTGCTTGCGCTTGTCACAGGGATCCTACGCCCTCGGAGAACAGATCGTGCACAACACACTCAACCAGAGGGCCAACCACTTGTCGGACTTCTCAGGGGCCCGCGCTCCTTTCCTAGTGTTAACGAGTGTCGAGCTACTTAGTCTGCAGGACAGGAAGCAAGGATGCCCACACTTGGGAGCATGCCGGTGCCCAGAAGAGAGCGGTGGGGGCATGAGGAAACGGTGAGTTCCCGGGGGGGGGGGCAGAACCCACCCCCACCCCAAGTGACACTCAAAAGAGAAAAAGCTGAGATGGTAAGCCATTGTGATGAAGAATGACAGAGAGCACAGGCGCTCAGAGCCTGTCAGGAAGGGTGGCAGAAGACCAACAGAGATGGGACAAGCAAGTGCAGAGGCCAGGATGAGGACGGTTTGGTCTGCGGAGCAGGGAGTGACAGCAGAGAAGAGACAGTGAGCTATGTCGATGAGCAATGGGAGGAGGAGGGAGGGTGGAAGGCGGAGTACGGCATGGTCCTTCTGGAAGAGTGATGGAGTGAGGTGGTTCCCGCCTCCCCCGTGGGCCCAGTGGAAAACGGCTTTAACACTGGAGATGACTCTTAAACATCTCCTGCCTCTTTGTGACTCTGCGTCCTAGCAGAGGATGGGGAAGCCTGGATTAGCAAAGCACTCGGCTGATGGGAACCATGACAACCAGGAAGACCTCGCCCACGAAGCCCAGCCTGAAATAGCTGAGATGCACATTGAGGGGGTTCAAAGTGGGGGAGCTGTCCTCCCCTCACCTCAGCCCGCGGGTGCACATGTGCCGGTGTTGCGTGGCTTGGGAAACCTGCCACTGCTTTGTCTTTTTCTGTCTCTGCTCCTGGTATTAAGATTTGCATGTTGTGTTCTGTTTATATTTTGTGTGTGTTGTGTAGTGTATGTGTGGGATCATGTTGGGTATGAGTGCTGCGTTGTATGTGCCGTGTCTGAGGGCATGTGGCATGTGTGTGCTTTGTGTCATCTGGTGTGTCGTGTGCTGCATGTGCTGTGTAGGAGTGTGTGATGTGTGTTACATGTGTGGCAGGTATGTTGAAAATGGGGATGGCTACTACCACAGTTTTTTTTTTCCCTGACTCCACAACAGCCCTTTTCCACCTGGTCAATGCTGGACCAGAACGGGCTTTTTGATTAGACCGTGTGAACCCCTAATAAGAAGTAGGGGACCATGGGTTCAAGCATGAACTTTCTCTTTAGTAACACACCAGCATAGACAAGCAAATGATCTTGTCCTTCCCTGAGAGGCTACTGCATAGGGCTGTGTGGCCATTTTATCTTGGGAGCACCTCCTTCATCTTTGAGAGCCAACCGCATTTTTGTATTTAGCACTCTTGAGTTAAGACCTATGGGTGAGGTGGGTGGGTGACCAATTCTTGATCAAAGCTAAGATGGGATTTTTTCCCATGCCTCAATTCAGGCTCAGATGACAATCGTGAGGCTATTTTTTGGAACAAGGGATGGTTTTGTTGTTGATTCATCCCAACAAATATTTAATGAGTGCTTACTAGGTCACCTATGGTGATCACCTGGAAGGACAAGATACATTTGGATTTATTCCTTCTGGTGTGGTTGTTGAAAGAGAGAAAAGCCTCATCGCATTATGGTCACAGCTCATTAGAGCATCTGGCGGTGTGTATGTGCCTTAGAATACCAGCGAGCAGGTACAGGCCGACTGGGAAAACGCTGGGCTCACAGACCCCCACAGGCCAGCCCTCTGTGCCCGACACAGTCCCCTCTTCCGGCCAATATCCCTTTGCCCCTCTGAAAGCAGAGAGCGGAAACGTTAGCAGAATTTCTTCACAGTGAGCACTCGCTACTCCAGGGAGCAACTGGGGATGTCTACGCCTGCCGACTGGCTCCTGAAGATGGACTCCAGGCCAGGGCAGGCTGGCGGCGGTCTCTCTGGACAGGGCAGATCCACCTGGCATGATTCAGCCTCATTTCTGAGTGTCAGATACCAACCCCGAATTACACAGAGGACCTTTCCAGACGGTGTGCGAAGAAGGTAGAAAGCACTTACGGCGTGAGGCAGGCAGGGCTAGAGTCCCCAGGGGGCAGTTAGTAAGACAGTTTGGTTCTGGACAGAACAGACAGAGAAAGAAAAGAAAAGCAAGTAGGTTGGAAAGTAGTTTTTAAAAAAAGAAGAACAGTAAAGGTTTAAAGTCAACAAGTCTGGTGGCAGCTCCAGGGACAGCTATCAGGAGAGACGTGAGGCCCACAGAAGCGGGCAGGTGCACGCGCAGGTACGCAGGCCTCTCTCTGCCTGGGTCCGGGTGGTCCAGCGCACAGAGGGACCCTCACGACAGAACAGCAACAGACCTCTCCCTTCTGCTTTCTGTTCCTCCCTGATTTGCCCTTTGGCGTTTCACTTTTCAGAAACCCTTTGGCACACATAGGGATAGAAGCCACATGACTACTGTATTTGAAACAGAGGATTAAATGGTCTGTTTTAGTTGCAACGATCACGTGGCCACTGCTCTCACTGAGAAGTTCCCTTCACACTGTCCACTAGACACAGGAGGGAAGAATAGCACTGCATTTCCAGATTATTCTCTTCTTTCACACCACAACTCTCCTCTTAGCTTCTCTGCAGGGCAGAGCTGGTACTACAGCTTCAAGAGAAAAAGAGGATAAATATAACCATGGGGGCCGGGGGAGCAAGAAAAGACAAGGGAGATTTCCCGTTGTGCCCCACCCCCGCCAGGGAGGTCCCCTGATCGGGCATCCGAGCACGTGTTCAGGGAAGGGCCCGCAGCCGGGCGCTCGGGGCAGGCTGGATAATCAGCATTAGTCCTGGTGATTCTGGAATGAAAACCCAGAACTACTTACTACATAATTTATGGAGTGATGGGAAAGGGTTTCCAATGGGCCTAATACAGGAAGTCAGTTTAGACAAGGAGGAACTCCAGTGGAATCGAGAGCCAGCAAAATTCCAACAGAAAAGGAAAAGAGAGTCCACAACATCTAATCTCTGTCACTGGGCACTCTGCGCAGGTTCTGAATCCCCGAGCTTGGCCAATCATCTCTTTGGTAGCAAGCACACCCAGTGAGAAGAAAATCTAAAACAGACATTCTACAGAGGCCCTGACTGGTAGGGGAATAGGCACAGTTCAGTCCTGATAAAACCATTTTCATGCCTCGAGGTTGTGATTTACATGAAGTGGTTGTCTTTCTACTATCACAGATTGCCTGGAGTGGTCACTGTAACTCAGAGCCCTTTTTGGTTCCTAAACATTAATTTCTCTTTAGTTTCTAATATTAATGGAATTAACTGCAGGCACAGCCAGGTAATGTTTTGGGACCGAGCCCTCATTTCACTGGATTCTTCCAGAGCCTTAAGAAGGTTAGGGTATCCACCTAAATAAGCCCTTTGTGGTAGGAAAGTCACTGACCTCAGGCCCCTGGAGGGATGGGGTAACAGAAGCCCACAGAAGACACCATTTGTCGCCGGAGAACACTCAACCATGGTATTTGTTCTTCTCAGCGTACTAAGCAGCTTTATCACAAAGACACCTATGTTCCAAACGTGGCCAGTATACTATCATTATGTTGAAAGAAATGGCCACTGCCATTTCTGTAGGCCACTGGCAATGCCACATGGTTTAAACTCTACATTTTGAGTTGACTGTTCCTGGGTGGGTTCCACTGGGAGCCACCGATTCCGCACCACCCCTCACCCTGCCCCGCACTAGGAAAATGTGGAAACACGCCTGCCTCGTCTCCCAACTTGGGAAGCCAGGGCTGCCTGGGCCATGGCGGGAGAGCAGGGCCACAGCCCGGGGAGTATGTCTCTCTTCTCTGACCCTTGCCATCTCCAGGAGCTGCCTGGAGAATGGTGATGGGTATCTGGACTCCACGGGGCTGGAGTCTGTCCATCTGGGCTAGTGGTGAGCGGGCCTCACCCTCCAGTCTGCACGCGGGATCCCCAACCCAACAGTGTCTGATGGAAGCGGGGACCGTGCGCCGCCCCACCACACCAGGCCCGCAGCCCCTACGCGTCCGGTCCCAGGAAAACCGTCAGCCTTTGTTTTGTTTCACTCACTCTTGAAGTGGAAATGCGGACTGTTCTTAAAATGGTGTGGTGTGGACATACTGCGCGAAGAAACACGTGAGATCAAAATTCAAGGCCAGCCCATCGGTGAATAATGTTAAGGGGAATGTAATAATAATTGCATAATAATCATAAGTGCTGGGATGGGTGGTCGTATATGGTGTGATGGTCATATGAAAGACATAAGGGGGATAACAGTAATCATCACATAGTAGGAAGGCAGGATTTTTGATCTTATCCATCTGCCTCACCCAGTTTTATGGCCAGGGAGACAGAGGACTGCTATTCTGTACTGAAGCCAGCACTGGAGTCCAGACCTCCTGGGATGTTCCACGTTATCAGCCTCTCTGGTACACCTCTTGTGTTGTCCCGGATAAAGATCTGGAGCACTCAGACAGCCCTGATGTGACTCCAACACACCTCACACACATGCACATTTCTAGGACACAAATTCACACAGAAAGAGGACAAATTATAACCCCAAGTGAAAGGCCCAGATAGACGAGCATCAATCACCTAGACCAGAGAACCTAAGTCAAACCCTGAGCTACATCTTCAAGAAAAGATCACTGAGGACAAGAACATGGACTTTTCTTTAGGAGTAAGCCAGGGCTTGTGTTTCTGCCTATCCAATTCTCCCATAACTCCTGCATCTTCCAGCTCACAAGAACCCATTACGGATAAGGATTCTTGAAATCAGATGACCTAACAAAACCCCAGGTTTACACATCTTTTCTGAGCATTTAAACAGAAGAGCTGGTGGGGTGAGGGTTGGAATACTCAGCCTTATTACCTCGATGGACCCTGGTTCAGCTTTGACTCTTTCTCCCATGTGGTTGTCACTATTAAGACTTGGGGGCCCGTGGGGGGCGTGCCTCCTCTCCTCCTTTAAGGCATGCTCCAACAGCTTCTTGTTGAGGATCCGGGCTACGTTCTCAGCGAGTGTGTAACCAGGGGGAGCGGATAAGTCCTGCCTCAAGGGCGTGCCCTCTCCCCCTTCCTCCCTCCACGTCTCTGAGCCAGCCCCGATGGGGCTGGGGGACCGTCCTCGGGAACTGGGGCCTGTTTCCTGGCCTGGGCCCAGGTCTGGCCGAGGTTCTGCTGAGCGAGACCGACTCCCGGCCCGTGTCCCCTTCTGGAAGGGGTCCTGCACCACGGGGCTGTGGTCGATGATGTTGAAGAGGCTGGAGAGGCCATCGTTGATGGCGGTGTGCACGGGGCTCTCTCTTGTGGTGGTGGAGCGGGCCCAGGCTGACTCGCTGCACCCCTTTGGGGCTAGCCCCAGGGAGGTCCTGCTATTTGGCTGCTCAGCTTTGGGGAGGGGCTTCCTCTGCAGCTTGGGAGACCCGTACTTGGGGGAGCAGCATGTGCGTTCAAACTTGGCCTGCACCTTCTCGATGGCGGGGGCCACCTGCCTGCTCCTAAGGCCACGGGAAGGAGATGACGCGGGCGTGGCACTACCCCCTGCCTTTGGTGTGAGACACTTATGGGGGCTGCTGGTGATGGTGCTGCCACGCAGGGCTTCGGTCTGCAGGCCAATGTTGATGGTCTGCACGGTCTGTGTCCCTGTTGTCCGGGACCCATTGGTCTGGCAGGCCATGTCCTTGACAGGAGGCTTGGTGGGACCGGAGCATATGGCGTTCCTGACGGAGAAGGCCACCTCCTTCATGTCATCACTCATGTTCTTGGACATCTGCAGACTGTGTAGTGGGGAGGCGAACCCCAGAGGGGTGCAGAGGGAGCTTTCCAGGGGGTGCAGTCCTCCCTCCACATAGTCCCGGGGGGGTCTGGAGGGGGCACAAGGCCACCTGCTAAGCACGTGTTCTGAGGGACCCCCCTTTGCGTCTCCAGCGCCCCCCCTGGGTCTGCTCGTGGGAAATGGGCACTCGGGCTCTGACCGGCCCTTGCCCTCACCCCCGGCCAACACGATGTTGTCCATCCTGCGGACGGCGGGCGGGCTGTGCAGCACCCGCACCCCCGCCTGCTCCGCGCACACGTGGCTCCGCAGGGGCTGCTTCTGGCAGTGCTCTGGGCTGGTCATGGTGTCCGTGGTCATGGTGACACTCGTGGTGAGGTACCAGGAGGAGTCGGGGAAAGGCTCCGCGCTGGCCTCATTCCCTGCCCGCCCCCCCTCGGTCCTGTCTGCCCACGGCTCCGGGGGCCTCTCCTCCCAGCTCTTGCTGTTGAACTCCTCGATGTACTTCAGGTCGTCCGGAGACAGGGGCGGGGTGACGTCCTCTTTGCTGTTGGCAGCCGGCAGGCCCTTCTCCGGCAGGAAGGGAGAGACGTCCATCAAACGCTGGAACTCAGACATGGAGGACACAGACACAGCCCTGGGGAAAGTGGGAGAGAAGAGGATGTCAGCTGCCCGCCAGCCGAGAAGCGTGCTCACCCCCGCCCCTGACCCCGCCGCTCGTGCGTCCCGCCCCCGCGCGGCCCCACTGTGCGTCAGTCTCCATCCGCCTCCACCACCCGGACGCCTTCCAGCCGCTCGATGTTCTCTGCTCCTGATCCGCCCCCGTGCGTGTTCAACGGACTCTTCATGGCTCTGGAATTGTTCCGGGAGCCTCGTAGGAGTCAGAATTTCATACAGGCGGCCCTCAACTACCTCGGAACGAGCAGGAGGCTGGGCTCTGGGCGCTGGTCAGAGCTAAGCTCCAAACCCACTTTGGAATGCTTTCATTTTGGCCTGTGGTTGCTCCAAAGCAAGAAGGACACCTGGCTGACGAGTGCCTTCAATCCCTAACCCAAAAGAGTTTCCAAATCCCCGGCACTGAGGCAGGTGCTCACGCTACTGACGGAAATACAGCCCCGTCCTGATCCAAACCCCGCAAATGGTGTGCACCAAGGGGGTCAATACCACAACATCACAGGTATAATCTGACATCCTGTTCATCCGCCGGCCTTATCCTCTGCTGGATGAACTTCTGGTGAAGTACCATTGACCCTTGAACATCACGGGGGTTAGCTGGTCCCACTCCCATGTAGGTGAAAATGCACGTACAATTTCTGACTCCCCCCAGACTTAACTACTCATAGTCTACTGTTGAGCAGAAGCTTTATCCAGAAGATAAGCAGTTTATATAACACATACTTTGGGGTATGTATTAAATACTGTATTCTTGTAATAAAATAAGCTAATGAAAGAAAATGTTATTAAGAGAACCACAAGGAAGAGAAAATACATTTACAGCACTGTACCGTATTTACTGGGAAAAAATCCGCATCTAGGTGGACCCGTGTAGTTCAATCCGTGTTGTTCAGGGGTCAACTGTACTAAGGGTCATCCCCAGAGGCCAAGGGGAAGATGTGGAGCAAAGGAGGGAAGTGGAAGGTGTGACAGGTGGGCACGTGATTTCCAAATACGACTTCCTACAGAAACTCCATCCTGCCCTGCTGAAATCCACCACCAGGGCTCAGGTCTTCCCTCCCCACCTGCTCCCTCCTGTACAGCCCAGCCTGTGCTGTGTTCTTGCTCCTCCTGTATTCTTGGATGAGAGGAAGATGCCTGCAGACACTCAAACACATGGGAGGGTGAAGAGGTCTGAGCTGAAGGCACAGCCAGTGTTGGGTAAGTGCTGCCTGATGGACATGGTTTTGGATGTAGATTCATGGATAATTAGTGCTTTCGTTCCATGTATTTCTAGTTGGTATGAATTTCCCGACTGCCTCCTATAGGCCAGGGCAGGCACCATATGAGGTGCTGGGGATTCCAAAAATGCTAAAACAGGAGGTTGCTGGAGCGCTTAAGCAGCTTGTCAACCCGCTGGACCCTCTGGCAGGAAATCGCTCCTGTCGGGGTGGAGGCAGGGGCATATGCAGACTCACTCTCTCTGTAACGAGACCACTTTCTCATAGGACATATTCCTATCTGTGCACCCCAAACAGAAGTTTAAATACTTAGGGTTTCAGACCGGCATAACCGGGTCCCAGAAGGAGCGTGCATGGGCCACTCCACTGCAGAAGCCATTAATGATGGTGAGGCTAGAACTGGGGTCTGTGTACCACATGGACTGGCTCACAGAACTGGCAAAGACCTGGGTACCTTTGCCCTCACCCTGGGTTGCCACCCTGGGGTAATAGACAGAAGGCTACAAATGATACCAGTAGGCTTTCTATCTTGTTATTTCTCACTTGAGGCAAAAGTTAGTGATTTTTTGTTGTTGTTAGAAATAATCTACAAACTCTCCCATGGGCCGATGAAGAACAGCAAGCTGGCTACAACTAGCACTGAAAAGAAAAAGAAATAGGAGGGATGGGTCAATTTATCATAGATATGAAGCCTTCCAGTAAGTGCAATTTTTCTTTTCTTGCCTCTAGCCAAGTCAGGGAGTTGCTGAATTAATAATGAGCTTCAGGTGCCTGGGTGGCTCAGTGGTTAAGCAGCTGCCTTTGGCTCAGGTCATGATCTCAGGGTCCTGGGATCGAGCCCTGCATCAGGCTCCCTGCTCAGCGGGGAGTCTGCTTCTCCCTCGCACTCTGCTGCTACCCTGCTTGTGCTCTCTCTGTTAAAGAAATAAAATTAAAAAAAAAAAAAATGATGAGCTTCAGAACGTCGTTCACTGGGGACTGGAAATGCCCCGTAGGTACTGAAACCCCAATCCTTTCCACATTTCTTGGACATGGCTCGTCTGAGCCTCGTTTCTGCCCACGGAGGAACTAGCCTCAGAGTTAAGCCAGTGCACCGGCCTGGGGCCTTTCCGTTCCCAGGCCCTGGATGGATCTCATGGAACAGAGGTGATGTAGGCAGAGAAAGGGAACACATAAGCCTTAGCAGTGGCCAAAACAAAACAGATACAAAACCAGGACACACTAGAAACGTGCCAGCGCATGAAGGCGCACAGAAGAAGGTATTGGGGGGAAGACAGGAAACTGATAGAACCAAGAGGAAGAAGGGGATAGTGAGGACAACACGTGTACTTTCTTGCTTAGACATTTTGATACGTACTTTTTTTTTTTTTAAGATTTTGTTCATTTATTTGAGAGACAGAACACAAGTGGACAGAGGGGCAGAGGGAGAGGGAGAAAGAGATTTCCTGCTGAGAGGGAGCCCAACATTGACCTAAGCCAAAGGCAGATGCTTAACCAACTGAGTCACCCAGGGACCCCTGAAATGTAAGTTTTAATATTTCTGATATTGCGTTATTTAAGTTTTAATTTAGGATTAATTTTTCTAAGTATGGATGACTTTTGAAATTAATAGCAGCAGTAAGATAAAAAATAGGGGGCGCCTGGCTGTCTTAGTCAGTAGAGTGTACGACTCTTGATCTTGGGGTTGTGAGTTCGAGCCCCACATTGGGTGTAGAGATTATTAAAAAAATAAACTTAAAAAAAAAGATAAAAAATAAGAGCTACTAAGTGAAGAGTTCTGTGAAGATAGCTAAATTTTGTTGACCATTTACTCTGTGTCAGGCACTACTCTGTTTTATGTGTAGTAACACATTTAAGCTGTGAAGAAGTGGAAACACCTTTTGTTTACAGATGAGGAAACTGAGGCACAGGGTGGTTACCTAACTCATGGCTGACGAGAGCAGATGTGCATTTGAAACCAGGCTCTGGCTCTTGAATGCGGCCCTGGACTGTCCGAGAATGACCAGACAAGACAATGCCTGAAGGATAGAAATACACCATAGGTGTTTTGGATGGTTTGGGATGAACCCAATACCAGGCAAAATGGGAAGGAGACAGTAATTCATGGCCCCGAAGTTCACAGGAAAACCAGGGATGAGGAGATCTGGAAACAGCGAACTGCCCTGAGGATAAGTTTCCTGTGGTGGAAATAGCATGTGTTCGTCTATAAAGAAAAAGCATGTGAGTGGGGATGGGGGGAGTTGTGTACAGGAAATCTTTCCACTCAGTTGTGTTTTCAATGTTTAAATATAAACAAATTTGCTTAGATGTGTCTTTTCAGGTATATCCTATCATACAAATGACCTAAAATGGATGATAATGAACATTGCCAATATCAATCACTTTGTATTTACTTTAAGGTTTATGGACAGGAAATATTTTAATTAACTCTCCTGGTAGAACTTTAAATGCACAGTATATAAAATGTCTCCGAGCACATCAAGAGGGAGTCTTTCCAGACTAAATGAGAAGTGAGGGGTTTCTGTGGACTGTTCAGAAACCACTAGACAGAACATTCCTTTATACACACGATACACAATTGTAACTATTCTCACCATGACACTAACACCCACAAGAGTACTGCGTCTCCCTGGCCTTTCTATGGCAAATAATCAATAATAATAAAGCAACTACGTACTCAGAAATCTTACTTTAAGTCATTCTCAAGACAGTGTTACCACAGGTTCTGGTGCCAAGATAGAATTTTAAGACAGAGAGGTTTTAATTTCAGTAGCCGACTACTGTTTTCATCAGTCTTACTTACCTTTGAAGATTTCCTTTGTGATTTTCTTCTTCCTACAAAGAAGAAATTAGATCATCTGAATCAGTTAATATGGTTGCCAGGCCCTTTCAACGTGCTAAGTAATCTGTTTTTGCGCTTTGGCCACAGGAAAATCCCATTTAAAATGTACACCGAGGCCAAGTTTTGGTTAGGAATGCTCCTGCCCCTCAGCCCTTTGAAGTATAATAATAAAACCAGAACCACAGTGTGATGAGGGGTTGGAGCTCCGGCAGTCCAGGGAGGAGCCCATGTGAGTGAGAAAAATTGGCTATATACTTCGTCGTGAAGAAAGTGCTCTCCTGGGTTTCCATAAAGGAAGCTACCTGTGTGAACTTCAAAGCTGGCTTTTGTCATGACCCGAATACATCTGAATGTGTGTGTGCTCGTGTGAGAGAGAGAGAGAGGAGGAGGAGGTGGGAGAAGGGAAGATGCGCACTCCCCCTGCCCAACTCCCCCGGGAGAGAGGAAGGTGGCAGCTATGTCCCTCAGTCTAAGCCTCAGTGTAAAAGGTGATGCAACAGTCTCTGGCTTGAGCACTTCTGTTGTGAGCTTTGCCATGTGGAATCAGAGGCAAGCTTACAAGGACGTCTGCTCTGTGGCAGCTCAGTATGGGGCTGTGGACTCCCAACCCCGGTTTGCTTCCTCTCTGCTGTGCAGCTGCACCATGGGAATTGCCAGCCGATCAAACAGGATGGCATCCCGGTGATGTCATGCCACCTGGCGCACACTGCCAAGAAGGTATTTGACCTCACAGACACCAGACCGAAGTCTAACTGGCCCCCATTTCAACACTACTTGACACCAACTCTTTGAAGTCTGCCTTTGGACAGGTTAAGTGACAGGTACAGCAGCTGTTAAACTGACTCACAGGTAATGATTCCTAAAATCCAACCCGGTTTTAAAACCCAGTTGCAGAAGGGCACCTGGGTGGCTCAGTCGGTTAAGTGTCTGCCTTTGGTTTGGGTCGTGATCCCGGCATCCCGGGATCGAGCCCCATGTCGGGTTCCTGGCTCAGCAGGGAGCCTGCTTCTCCCTCTCCCCTCATTGTGCTCTCTCTCGAATAAATAAATAAAATCTTAAAAAAAAAAAAAAAAAAAAAAACAGAAACCCAGTTGTAGAAAGGGCATAACCAGAAAAACCTGACATTGTGCCATGGAAATCTGAGCCCAGAGTTGAGCTTACTGCATTGTTGATCTAATTTACGCACGGTTTCTAAGTGCTGGATTTTCCCCCCTTTGCAGAGAATAAGAATTTATAGCACGTCATTGTTTAGTGACACTTAGCATTTCCCAATGGGAGGTACCTTCTTTGGAACAGATTTGTTTCTGTTACCAGTAAGTGTTAAGAATCAGAAGGCTGCGGTGATTTAAAGAGAGGCTGCAGACCTATACTTCCCAGAATGAAAGATCTCTGTGTGTTTTCCTGGACCTGTTCATGGGCGAGACCAGTGTCTCCAAACCCGAGACATGTTTGCAAGGTGAAAGCGAATGCAGCTCGCCCTAGGAATTTGGGGTCGGGACCACCAAGCAAAGATCTTGGCACTCTGAGGGTTTCCTGCCTACTCAACCCAGAGGCTGCAATTTGCAAAACCCGAGCCTGCCGGCCAGATGGCCAGCTCTCCTGACAACCCCTTGGTCCTGCAGCAGTTAACCGGACCCCAAATCCCAGGCCGACCTGGGGAAGGCAGTTCCTGAACTCCCGCTGGGGCCCTCGGGCTGGAGGCTCCTCTGGCTCGTCATCCAGAGACAAGGCGTCCAAGTAGAGGTTTTCCCGTGCTGAACATCTGTCCGATTCCTTCAGCTTGGACAGCGGCCGGTCTTCAAACGGGGCGGAGTCGGTGTCCGTGCAGGGCCACACCCCCAAGGGACGGGGCATTCGGGGACTTCCCGGGTGGGCAAAGGGGCGCATGTTGCCTTCCTTTTGATCACAGAGGAAACTGCCACTTCTCCGGGGACTGTTTTCTTTCTGCAACTTGAGGGTTTTAAAAATGAAAACAATGAGCCTCACTTTTCTGTCTGTTGGTCTCCCTAGACCACTGCTTCACCACAGTTTGGAACTACATTTGGGTCCATCGGAAAGACTGTAAGAAGTCAATGGTCTTAAAGTTCTGACCTTAATTTCAAAAGTAACACAACATTACAGATGCTTTTATTAAAAAAAAAAAATCACAATTTTATCCAGCCTGGAAAATGCATTAACCACACACATGAGCCTATTTCCCATGAAGTTGTATCATTTCATATATATATATATATCATATACACACACATATATATCACACACACATATATATCATATACACGTATATATCATATACGATACAATTTCATGGAAATGGTATACATTTATTTTTAAAAAACTGACATTGTTACATGACATATTTAGAACTCTTTTTTATACCTTTAGAACTTAAGGCACACTCACTGGGAAACCATCAGTGATAGCAAACTTCTGAGGGGAAATTTGATTGTCCTAACTAGCAGGGTTTCCTCATTTTAACACTATTATTCCCAAATCATTTGGAAGGGGTCCCATCCGTAACCCAAGTGATGAATTGGGTTGTAACCACTGGGTGTCAAAAACAACTCCTAACTTTGCTCGAGGGGATTACAATTTAGCTATCAAGTTAAGGAAAGATCTGGACTGACTGAAAAAGGAAAAGCCACATCCTATAGAACCGTAGTTGTTTGCCTGACTTGGGAAAGGCAGGAAGCAATAGTGGGGAACACACAGGCACCCCTCAAGTGAGGAAGGCCTGAGTTGGAGCCACTGTTCTGTGGCTGGCCGGCAGAAGAGACGTCCCCAGAGATCCCCAGCTCAGTGTCCTCATCTGTAAAGTGGGGACCTCACAGCTGTGAGGGGAGGAGCGCAGGGGCCACCCACAAGGCGAGCCCAGCAGGGCTCACTCTTCATCCGTGAGACCAGCACTGACCTCCCTGGGATCTGGGTGCACAGACACGCCTTGCTGATTTATGGCACTAAAAGGAACCAAGTGGAGCAACTGGGGAAGGAAGCCAACGTGAAATCACAGCGAAAGGCAGGGAAATGGCGAGCTGGGCGGATGCTGCCTCCCTGGAGAAGCCGTAATGGACTACTTCTCCCCAGACTCTCCAGAGCTTTCCTTACTGCCTTCCTTTCGAGCTGTGCACACAAAGCACAATGTAGGGCTGAGGAGACCTCCACCCAGGTATCTCCACGATGGTCTTTACTGGGTGACACGTCACACACCCCACCATGGCGGAAGCTCTCCTGGCTAAGAAAGTTACCTGAAGGGCGGAAGTGACATCTGGATTTTTCAAAGAAGAGAGATGTTGGGTCCTCAAGGGCTGATATGGCGCCGGGAAGTTCTAGAACTCCCCCGGAAGGATTAATTTATTTTTTAACTGAGACTCTTTCACAAACTACACCTCTGTGTCCCAACTGTGGCCTTCATCTAGGAGCTGGAGGTAAGTATGGCCTGTTCATAATCAGGAACCAAGCCATGTGAAGTAATCTCCATTATTAAAAGGACTTTTACTCAATTTAAGTAATTTCTGATATGGTGAATTATCTTCATTTTCTGAGAAAGATGGAAATTCAAGCAGCCAGAGCTTCAATGTTAGAGTCTGAGGCGGGGTCAGAGTTGAATTAGGGAACAAGCCAGTCACTCTGGGTTTCAGCAGCACGGCCCCTCTGATCTCTTCCCATCCCCCCCACCCCAAGGCACAGTTTTTCCCAATTCTCTTAAAGATACTAAATGTTTTCTTTACAACACCAACAAACAAAAAACGACAACAAAAAGGGAACGCTTTTTATTATGTTCATCTAATGCATGTCAACGCAATTTAGTTCTAACATATGATCATCTCTAAGCTATTCTGGGCAAGGAATTAAAATGCAAGAATCACACTTGGAGCTGTAAATGTGCACCGAGGGTGTGTGTGAAGAGGAGGAAAGAATGACTAAGGAGGAGGCTTTGAAGGAGCACATTCTAACTCAGCACAGGGGGAATTCAAAAATAAACACAGGCGGCCAGAAGCAATGCTCACTAAAGCTGGTCAGTGTTAGGTTTCCTAAAAATGAACTGGAATGGGTTTAGCTGGAGGGTATCTGCTGCTAAGATGCCTCTGGGATGTTGTAATAGAATAATGGGTCCTTAAAAGGATAGGGTTTCCTAGGACAGTCATTTCAAACCAGCCACCGGTGCCCACTGTACTTCGAATCCTGCACTAGAACAACTTTTAATGCAAATAGAGAACTGAAAAGACTTGCATTTCAAATAATACAGGAAACAATAAGCCCTCCACAGTGTCACCTTACCTGAACTGGTCCAAAAAAAAAAGGTCACTTTGTGAATGGGTTTTAAAAGAAAGGCCTTTCAGGCTACAGAGGTAGTTGATTTAAGGAAGTTTCTGGAAGGAGACCAGAATGACGCATGGTTTTCCCTTTAGGTCTTTAGTACAGTGGCGAGTCCTATATCATCTGCATGTTAACTGGGATCTTAATTCTAAGGAGAAATGTAGTGTGACTCCATAAAAGTTAACTATCGCCCAATCAAATCTGGACTGTGACAAGGATTGCTGATAAGATAGATGACACGTGTTATGTGAACTTAACTGCATTCCCACAGTCATCTGTCATATGAAATGCCTCATGCAATGCAGAAATTATGTAGGAATTTAATGACACCAGACAAGTATGAAGCATGTGTTCTGAAAGTGGAAAATGGATTTAGTGTTACTTCCTTTACCAACTGTATTAGGTTATCACAGTCAAGGTTACGTGGCTCACCAAGTAGTCAAATATCAAGAGCATATATTATGAAGAATGTTCACCTGTATTTCTTATTTATCTAAGGAATGTGGACTTAAAAATTAAATGAATGATAAACGAAATCTACACACACACACACACTCTTTGGTCGATTTCTTCTTTTCCAGAGAATGACTATAACTGCTTCATTTAATTTTCGGGGTTGGGCACCAAGATTTATAAAATCTTCTTTTAAAATGCCGACTATTTGGGGGAAAAGGTTGGATTTATTTTTGAAAGCCACAACTGCATATCTGAAGTGTCATTCACTGGCAGCAAATCTTCTTCTAAAAACAGTGGTGAGATCATTGTGCAAAGCCGGGATCCACCACACAGATTTCAGGAACAGATGAATGCCTGGAACCCACGTGTCTCGAATCCCTTATACTCAGAGACATCAACCTTGAGGACTCACATTCTGAGGCTGTCCGCTCGGCAGAACCACAGTTGTTCTGACTCGGAAGACAGATGTGAACCGGAAATGGGGTTCAGCTCACACCCAATCTTACCCTTCAAGATACAGTCTTAAAATGGGGCCACTGCTCCTCCCCTGGTCATTAACTCCTCAAAAGTTGACTATCATCAGATGTCCTACTACTTTTTCCTTTCCTAGGAATTCCTCATTCCCAAAAGTAAAAACCCTAAAAGACTTGCTTAAATTATATCCAAGCTGTGACAAGACCACAGCTAACAGGCTAACAGGCAAAGGGGACCCCAAAAGGGCTGTGGCAGGGATTGTGTTGGCCTTACTGTGCCATATTAGGGATGAACACGGTGAGGGCTCCTGGAGGGGAGGCCAAGGGGGACCCTCCCTGATAACAAGGTGCCTGGCATTTCTGAGACACTGGTTAACCAAAGCTAGATGTGATAAATCAGTGACCCCTTTGTGAGAATACGTGCTATTTCTGCCCCTGCAATTTCCACCTAACCACTGATCTGTTCAGGAGAGTACAGGCACACAGGGGATTCAATACAGAAGATTCTTCTCAAATGATGCATTTCTAGGCCAAACAGGAAGTGGCCACCTTTCTTTTGCTAGACTTTGGGGAATTCTGAAATGAGCCACATCAAAGACCAATATGGTGACTCAGTTGGGTGAGTAATCAAATCTAGGAAGGAGGTCTGCTCCATTCTATCCGCAGTGTGCCTCCTTCTCAACACTTTCTGAGCCAGAGAATCCTGGCTTTTTTTTAGTCCATTCTCCTTCTCTCCCTCCCTGACAGCATGCAGAAACTAACTTTGGCCATTGCACCGGCATAACGCAGGTATCACGTCTGGGGACAAGAGAGCACATTTTTCAAAAGGCTCCCACATCAATGCAGGTGGTATGGGTATTTGTAAGAGAGTAATAAGGTTATTTGTCCTGAACTCCGTTTCTTACTGATTAATTCATTTCCTTGAGGTCTCATAAATTTATAAGTGGGGCAGGCCGAAATAAAAAACAAAAACAAAAACAAAAACCATATATGCTATGTAAAAATCCAGCCACAGAAGAAGTCTAAAACTTCATCAGTTTAATATTTAATCTGTGCATCACTCGGGCATGACTAGAAACTATGCAAATGGTCCTGAGTCTGACGCAACGCAGAGAACGACTCTCTGGGAGGTAGAAAAACAACTCCCCGGCCCCCCCTGAATTTGTCTGGGTGTTTGAATTGTTTGTTTAGCTGAAGACAATGAGCTACCAGCCCCATCCCCGGACAGTGGTCCTCCCTAATCACAGCTCAGCAATAATCACAGGTGCAACCAGCCTCATTTTCAACTTAATTCAGCAATTTCTTTCCTAATGGACAGCAATTCCATTCAAGTTGGAGCAGCCACTGTGACCACATCTTTAGTGATAGACTTAAAAGGTAGTTTGCTTTTTGGCAGGAATCACCTTAGAAGTCCTGAAATAACCTCATGTTTCAAGTGTAGTCTTTAAATTCCTTCAGAATATTACCCACCCCCACCAGCCCTGACCAGAGACATAACACATATATACACACACACAAGGAAGTTACCTACAAATTTAGCAATAAAAAGATCTGTATAATGCAAGGGCTGAGTGTGAGTCACCAATGCTAGAAATTCTGTGATTTTTTTTCTTCTTCCTCTAGACACCCATGAAACATTAGCCTGATTTTTTTTTTTCTTCCCTCTAAGGGCTCTGATTTCAGTTTAGTTATCTGTACTCTCTTCCCTGTTCACTGGTCCCAGAGTACTCCCTTTACCTGTTCTATTCTCCACAGGAGCTCCTTCTTCTGCTGCTCCCACTCCTGCCGGTCTCTGTCTAGACGGTCAAGAAGTTCCACCTTCTCCCGGTTCCAGTTCTTCTCGCTGTGATGGATCTGCCAGCGCAGGTCCATGACCAGGCCATGACTGTCAGCAAGGAGCTTCTGGTGCGTCTCCCTCTCCTTTTTGAATGCTCCTTTGCTGTCAGTAAAAGAGCCTGCTTCTCCCAAGTTCTTCTCAGTCTTCTCTTCCAGCTGGCAAGGAGAAAGGACTTAGACCTTAATCCCTGGAAAATCTTACATGAACAGGTGAGGAAAATCTCACCACATTTGCATATTATCCTTGGAAACATGTTTAAGCCAAGATTTGACCAATCCCATGGGGGGGGGGAATTCTCATTTTTAAAGCCCTAATTACGAACATTTGACATAGAGAGTCACACAAAACATAAAGCAGTGAGTCCACTTAGCTTCCTGTGGTCTGCCTCTCAGCTCCATGTCCTGCCTCAGTTACCACCATACCTTGCCTGTCCTTCTATAGAGCTCTCTGAGGGCAGGTCCATATCTGTCCCTAAGTCCTCAGCCCTCACATGGAAATGAGGGATGGACCATCTACAATAAATATCCATTAAACATCCTTGAGATCAAATACCAAAACAAACAAATAAGCTAAAAAATTTCCATCTAGACATACCATATTCCAACTGCTGAAAACCAAACAGGAAACCTTAGAGGCAGACAGACACAGGACACACAGACATGAATGACAGCACACCTCTCCTCTGAAACTATCCAAGTCAGAGGACAATGGAGTGGCATCCTTGAATGGCTGAAGGGGAAACTGACATGGTCAGCAACAATATCTTTCAAAAATAAAGGAAAAAAGGACTTTCTCAACAAATTTTAAAAAATCACTGCCAGCAGACCTGTACTTCAAGAAATGATGGAAGTTTTCAGGCAGAAGGATTAGGATACTAAGAGACACTATTATCTACACAAAAAATGAACAATGGAAATGACAAAAGAAATACAAATACAAGCTCATTTTCCCCTATTTTTAAATTTGCTTTAAAGTATTACTGAGTGTCTAAAGCAAAACCAGTTGTAGTGTATTGTTTGTTTATAGAAGTAAGGTATGACAACAAGAGCAGAGGATGGGAGGAGGGAGTTGGGAACACACTGTTGCTACAGAACATGATCAGTTTTAGTGAAAGATCCGTGAACATAAGGATGCATCTTTTTCTATTCTAGTTCAGCAGACTGCTGGATATTTACCTACGGACCATGTTACTCCATTCAATTCTAATGGGTTCTAATCTATTCTTTTCCTTGAAGCCAGAAAAATGTTTTAAAAATGTAAATCAAGGGACACCTGGGTGGCTCAGTTGGTTAAGCGGCTGCTTTCGGCTCAGGTCATGATCCCAGGGTCCTGGGATCGAGTCCCACATCGGGCTCCTTGCTCAGCAGGGAGCCTGATTCTCCCTCTGCCTCTGCCTGCCACTCTATCTGCCTGTGCTCACTCTCGCTCTCTCTCTCTCTCTCTGACAAATAAATAAATAAAATCTTTAAAAAAAAATGTAAATCAAAATGCTTTACTTCCTTGATAAAATCAGGATTAATGTTTCAATCTTTGGCACATTCTTCTTTTTCCTCATACCTGACCAGGTGCAGGTCCTCAAAGATACTCCTTTTTTCATGATGCTTTTTTTCCTCTGAAACATCCTTTCTCTCCTTTTCCATGTACCCACTCGTATTCATCTTCTGAGACTCATTCTAAGCAGGACTTTCACAAACAATCCCTCCCTGAACCCTCAGGTTGAGGTGCATGGCCAACACATCCCCTACTTCCTAACAGTACTGTGTATAGGCCTGGTGGGGCACTGATCACACTATTATAAATCAGCCCTGGTCTGGGTCTCCCGCTGCACTGAGAACCCCTTTAAGAAAGGTCTTCTCCGTTGCTGGATCCTTGGCATCTAGAACAAGGCCTGACTTGGGAGTGAACTGATGGAATTGCCAATTCGGCCAGGGACACAACATGACCTCCACGGAGATAAAATACTTAACTTTTGGTAGAATTTTCCTATTTTGCTTTTAAGTAGAAGAAGAGCAAAGATGGGAGTATTACAAAGAAATTAGCTTCAGCCCACATTCATTGTTTCTTGGTCTGCAACGGTTTCAGAAACTTCTTAAAATGATCTGGGCAGAAGATGAATCTTTACCTATTACCACCTAGCTTCTAAGTTGGAAGTCCTAATTTTATTTCCTGGTGTCTAGTGTCTAGTGATTCTCCCTGAGGCTTTATGTGTAGCATGTGTGTGGGTGGCCACCAGGTTTCTCTAAAACAAAGATGAAATATTTTGAAATTGGCTCATATCAAAGATTAGGCCTCCTTTCTTCAGCTACATTTACATCTGTGAAAATATTTAGCTTTCTCCCTCATCAACATATTTTAAAATAGGTTTAAAGGCAGCTCACCAGAGAGCATCTTACTCATTTTGTCTCCACTCCTGACTCTTCAGGCTGTGCACTAAGATAAACAGAGCCTCTAGTAAGACTCTCTCACCAGGAAGGAGACAGGATTCATATCTGGGTCAGCGGCTCCAGCAGCCCGGCCTGATGCTTCCTTTTTGCCCTGCTTTGCTGCTTCCTCTGTGGAGAAGGCAGTGTCTCCACTCTACTGGGGGCTGTGAACCTGAATCCAGGGCTCCCCTGGGCCAGCTGGCCATGCCACTGAACTTGTGGGTACCAGGCCGGGCGGGGGGCGGGGGAAGCACTGTTTTCTTTTGTATGACAGGCTCTTTCATCTTTTATCAAGGCCAGTTGGAAGATGTCTCCTTTCTGGGCAATATTTTTTTCTTTCATGACCTAGCCAATTCATATAAAATTTTAATTACTTTAAGATATGCCTCAAAATAGGACTTAGAAAGTAGATGATCAAAGATGCAGACTTTTCCTCCCATCGTGACCAAGGGGCTGGAAGAAACCTGGAGAAACAATCAGAACAAGAGGACCCGGGGCAGGACGTGATATTGCTTTTAAGGGTTTCCAGGGAGAAAACGCTTAGAAAAGAATGTTTCTGGTGACGTCTGACCTTAACAAATATGGCCGTGGTCTAAAATCTCTGAGGCGGCTCTGCTTGGTTGGGAAGATGGAGGTAAGACCCCGTTCTCTCTACTCGAGCACTAAAGGCTCCATGATCTGAGACCAGCCACTTCCTCTGGGCCTCCCTTTCCTCCAGGGGAAATAAGGACCCAGATACTAATCAGACTTCTAAGGCTCATAGTAGAAGATCTACAAGCTCTTTTCAGTATTTGGAGAAATCTAGAGGAATGTACATTTGCCTTTTTCTTTTCTTTCTTTTTTTTTTTTTTAAGAATTTTTATTTGTTTATTTGACAGAGAGAGGGAGATCACAAGCAGGCAGAGAGACCGGTAGAGAGGGGGAAGCAGGATCTCCGCTGAGCAGAGAGCCCAATGCGGGGCTCGATCCCAGAACCCTGAGATCATGACCTGAGCCGAAGGCAGAGGCTTAACCCACTAAGCCACCCAGGTGCCCTACATTTGCCTTTTTCAAAGATAACTAGGCCATGCTCTGCGTTTTCTTTGCGCCTGTCTGAACTATGGCTGTGTGTTCCGATCATCACTTCATGTTGGCCACCCCTTGATGGGGCTAAATACAGCCTTGTTCAACACAGAATGGAAAAATAAATGCTGTTGTCAAAAAGCGCTCTGCGGGGACTGTGTTTCATACTTGGGAGAGGGAATAGGAGGGAGAAGAAGGCCCCTTGAAAAGGCTGGGATTTTTTTTTTTTTTCCCTAAGCAGGTTCCACGCCCAGCATGGAGCCCAAGACAGGGCTTGAACTCATGACCCCAGTGATCAAGATCTGAGCTGAGATCGAGAGTCAGATACTCTACCGGCTGAGCCACCCAGGTGCGCCGAAGCTGGGGATTTTAAAAAGAGTGAGCGAGCAGGCAACTGTTCCCGGCTTTCCCCTCCGAGCCCTAGCTTTTTGGTCTACGGTCACTGCGGATTTGTCGAACTGTGTCTTCTCCCCATCTGGCCCAGATGGCAGAGGCCCCGCAGCGGGAGCAGAGGAGACCCCCACGGGCAGGTACCTGTTCCAGGCGGCACGTGAGCGCGGCCCACTCCACGTCCCAGGCGGCCTTGTCGCTGGCGTACTGCTGCTGCAGCCGCCGCCGTGCGTGCTCGTCCTCGCGCAGCTCAGCGCGCAGGTCCTCCAGCAGACTCCTGAGCGCCCCGAACAGCTGCTGGTTTTCCACCACCTGCGGGAGCGAACATGGAGTTGGTTTTGCCATGTAAAAGTATTCTTTAGGTCATGGCATCAAGGGGGTGCTGAGTTGCGTCCAAGGGGCCATTGCAATGGGTACAGAACAGGTGGTAAGTCTACAGCTCATGGGACAGAGCCCTAGGGTCCCTATGCTGCCAGCTGTCAGGCTCCCAGAGCTGAGGCCGCTAAGGGCCTGGTGGAACAGGAAGGGAGACCCCGCACTCAGGGCTGGTGCTCCGGACCCAGAAGCAGAAGGGAAGAAGCTGCAGGAGGCCACAGGGCGCCCGGAAGCCAGGGCTGCGAGGAAGCCCAGCGTGATTTCAGACATCCGCAGCGAAGGTTGGGAATGCAGATCTGGCAAGATAAAAACACTCACCTATATATGTTGTCATTTTAATACCAGCCATTGAACCAGAAGAGAAAAAATAAAGGCTCTGTGTCTCTTATAAACATAGGGTGGTCATACTCTGACTTGGATGGATAAGTATGGCCATGCAGGGAGGGCATTTTGAGCTTTAATCAAAGTCAAATGTAAATGTTTAACTTGTGCATGACGGCTTCCTCATGGTCTTCTGAGACAGAATCACTGTGTCCCTCCTTTCGGCTGCGCCAACATCACCAGTAATCATGCGCCTGCTTGTTCTCCCTGTGCCTCCCCGGGCCGCCCCACCACCAATGTGAGTGCATGGGGACAGACAAAACCCGACCCGCAACCACGTTTCCAGCGGCCCATACAATGCTCATCTCAAATGAAGTATGTAAACAGGTCTGATAAATGAAAAAGGGATTTTTATTACTAATCTGCTTACACCTAACTTAAAAGATTTTTTATTTCCTAAAACTCACCCTGCCCTTGGAAAGCACATTTTAAAACCATGACTGCTGTCTTTGTACGCTTCAGCATGGATATTGTATCAGAAAGGCCGGTCCAAGTGAATTAAGTACTGAATCAATTATGATATTTGGATAGTAAAAACGCCATCGGCTCATCTCTTCTAATCCAACAGAAAACACTAAAAGTGCATCCTGAGCTCCCAGACTGGTCCCAGGGCCATCTTGCTGGGTGCATGTACAAGGCAGGTAGAATCAAAGCTCTCTCAGTCCTGCTGGAGTCAGACTGTTTCAACTCTGGGGACACAGAGCCCCTTACTCTCAGAGAGACCCCCCCACTGCTTGATAGGCCTCTTGTGCCCAGGGCAGCAGGATGGAGCCCCCAGCTCTCCTCCACCACATGGAGAGTCTGTCATGCTTCTAAAACCATCTCATTAATCCCTTAAACACACATGCACAGAGATGAAAATGGACAGCCACCTTTGGGAAGAATTTAAGATACTCTGGCTATCTATACGTTTAGATTTAGAGAGAGTTGAATTAGAAAAGAGAAACTCCTTAACATGAGTTTTATTACTGAAAACGCCCCAGTTTTCCCTGTAAATTGTCTGGAGTTCTAATATTAGATGCAGTAGACTTTCGATGGGGGTAGAAAGGCCTGTTTGTTAACATTTATAGCTGTTTGGTTTTTCTCCCCTTGACCGTCAATTTTTACTTGAATAGCTCTGAGACTAAAACCAGTAAGAGTACAATCCAGGCAACGTCTGAAAGACTCAGCAGCCAGAGAGCCTTCTAAAAATCCTACACGTTCCTTCCAACCAAAATGTAAGTAAATTACCACTACACTCAAAGAGGTGCTCAGGATACGTATACAACTGTAATAAATGCAGAATGCTTTCTTTCAACTCTACACCAAAGGTTTTTAAAAATTATGTAAGTGCAGGTGAGTCAGAAGTGTTGCAATAATCTTTTCAGAAATACATACCTTTTTGAGTACAGAATTTGAGAAAAACTATGTTTTATAGTAGATTCATATGCTATTTCTAAAAAAAGATTTCATTTATTTGAGAGCAAGAGAGAGCACAAGCAGGGGGAGCAGCAGGCAGAGGGAGAGAGAGAAGTAGACTCCCCCACAGAGCAGGGAGCCCGATGTGGGGCTTGATCCCAGGACCTTGGGTCATGACCTGAGCCAAAGGCAGATGCTCAAACGACTGAGCCACCCAGGCACACCATCATACGCTCTTTTCATCTTTGGATTTTAAACTTAAAAAATCACTACTTTTTAAGTCAGAGTATTTTAAGCATAAAGTAATGGGACTAATTTTGATCTAGTCTCTGTGTAGTCATTTAATTCTCACTGAAGAAAACAAAGAAAACCATGTAATCAATTCTTGTATGTAATCAATATCTCCCTACAAACCCTACTTTGTATCATCAGACTGCGGGGTTCTTAGCCCCACACCAAATGGCTCTGATAAGATGAGGACCAGAATTCGTGGTCCTCGAAAGCAGGAATTCACAGAACAGTCTTTTTGCAGACTGAAATTTTGGTTCTTCTGGAAATAAGTATTTTCTGGCATTAGCAAATATCAGATTAAATAAAATTAAGCCTTAACGTTTTCATGCACAGTTGGGTCAGTATAATTATCATAATGTGCTATTATACCAGTATAATATTGATCACCACGGAATGAGTTCAAAAATTGCTCTGGGATGAAGGTGGCCAAAGGGAGCAAGAGAGTCCATGGAATGGATGTTATTGTACTTGTGATAATCACCCAGGAGCAGCATGTGTCACTGCAAGAAGCCAGACTAGCTCTCTCCACCATTGGTGTACAACATCAAGAACTGATGTCCAAATAAAAATTTCTGAAGACCCAAATGGGCAGGATACTTCAAACCTCTTCAGGTACAAAAACCCAGTAATGAAAAGTAATACTAATTGTCTCTGATAGAGGGGGTGCTAAATCAGGTGTGCCGATTGCTCACCGGCAGGATCTCATTGGCCTCTCACATCAATCCTGGGCGCGTACCATCCCGTTCCCTGGGTGACAGTGGAGGAACTAGAGCATGCGCAAACGCAGCTACTGCCGGGCTTTCCCGGGCAGGAGGTGCACAGCGCAGACTGCACTCCCGGTCTGTCCCACCCGAGGCTGGACAAACGGAGCCAACCTATCTATATCTAAATTCTGACATTATACGCTACCCAGGCTTTTGTGTTTTGTTTTTGTTTTTGTTTTTTAAAAATTTTTGCCTAAGAGAAGCCACCTCATCTCTGGAAACAAATTCCATCCGCAGATCAATGGAAATAGTATTAGTAAGCCATCCTGAAAGAATGCTTTGTCTTACATTTTTTCTCTGTGGGGGCCCTTGTTGGGCAATGCTTTCAGTAAAAAGACGACCCTAATCACGTTAAGTACGGCATCAAGATTCTTTGGGCCATTTAGAGGTCTTTGGGTGAAAGTCGTCTTGGCTACAGAACTTTCTGAAACTTCTATGCCAGGGGCCCAATTATGCAACCTTTTAGTTTATAGATCTGTTAAGTGTAGGTCAATTTCAATCAAAACCACCAATTTTTCAACCTCTTCAAGATCAGCTGGCTGGTTTTCTTGCATAGAAGCAGGATAAAATCGCCACCACCATTTCCTTTTCTGCAGGCTTAGTTTATTTCGGCCCTTCCAAGTTCATCTCTCTTTGGCAAGGCTTGCAATGATCCCAACATTGGGATTAGGAGCTTGACTGTGCTATAAAGTGCTAATGTTATTACAGGTTCAAGGTTGGGCTTCTGCCAATAAGACTACTACCCCAAAATACAATAAATATTACTAATAGAAAGTAAAAAGGAAGCTTCTGGGAAAGAGAACACACCAAAATATTTCTGATGCAATGACAACTACTTCATAAAACCATTCTTGCCTAAGATTTCTAAGATAAGGTGTTTCATAATTCTATGAAAGAGCTAAACTACCATCAACCACTTTGCTTGTCTCAGAGCCCTTAATTTGGGAGATGGGTTTCATCGAAAGTTGGAACAGATGCACTGACCGGCCACTATAGGCTGACCCACAGAGAGCCAGGCGGCCTCTACTTTGTGCTCATCTAGGCTAGCAGACATAGGCAGGGAGTTCTAGAATGCTATGGTAGCTGTCCCTGACCCCCAACACAGGCGTAGTTCCTATTTCATACTAATAAAGAGGGAGACCTCATATCCTATTCAATTCCTCTACCAGCAAGAGTCCCAGGATAAGTCCTTTACTGTGAGATCAGACCGAAAGGATATACATCTTAATAAAGAAGCCATTTGTCATTTTTACTTTCATTGTTTCATTCAGATTAATTTTAAGATTCTTTTCTAAAACGACTATCCTCCCACAGTTAAGAGAATGAGTCATTGAAGACCGGCCATGAAAATCCCCGGTAGAGGGTTATAGAGATGAGAGATTCATTTATGCACAGGGGCATCTGGGTGGCTCAGTGGGTTAAGCCTCTGCCTTCGGCTCAGGTCATGATCTCAGGGTCCTGGGATTGAGACCCACATCGGGCTCTCTGCTCAGTGGGGAGCCTTCTTCCCCGCCCCCCTGCCTGCCTCTCTGCCTACTTGTGATCTCTCTTCCTGTCAAATAAATAAATAAATGAATAAAATCTTAAAAAAAAATTTTTTTTAAATCATCTGTCCTTTGGCTGAGAACATGCCCGGTGATCCAGGCCACAAGGGCTTCTCGGGGCAGGTCACTGTAATTTTCAGAGAGCTTCCCAAGAATAGATGTGGGCTTGTGAAAGAAAGATGGACATACATTTAGTAAGTTATAACACAGGTTATCAGCCAAAGGCTCCAAGAAAACCAGGGCAGGTGTGATGAAAATCAAGTGGCCAGAGGGGAAGAAATCACTTATGAGCAAGGTTTAGGGTTTACTGCTGATGGTGGCTGACGCTGGGAGGCAGGGCAGGGGCCGGAGAGTCCTTTCCTGAGTATCCTCTAGTACTTGTGGTTCTTCACTCCTGTGCCTGTGCTATTTGCACAGTAACAGTAACAGACAAAAACACATCGCCAACATAAAATGTTTCATAATCATAAGCTCTAGTCTGGTTCCTTATACAGAGTTGCATGTCTCTTAGGGGAGGTTATAAAGTTGTAGAATCTGAAAAATGAATCATGGTACATACAAAATTGAAGGTAAAAGTGATCCAGGCTCAAGAGGAGAGCTTCTTTATTGGGAAAAAAGAAAAAAAAAAGTCAGAGCAGATCACAGTTTCTGACGTACAGGCCTTGTCTGGCAGAGGTGCTCTTTCTGGAAGTTTCCACATCTTGGACAAAGCAAAAAAGGTGGGCACCAAAGTGAGTCAACTGGGAGGCCCAAGATGCCAAAGGCACTTGGTCTACAAGAGAGAATCTGACTTCTACTGAGGGGGGCTTCTGAAGGCCCTGATCCCCAGACGAGTTCTGGACGAGTTGAGTGACAAAGGTCCTGGGGAACAGATGCTAGTCATTTCTAAAGTGGGTCCTGAGGAGGGAATCTTCAGGGAGCAGCTGTAGGTGAAGACTAATGTGAAATATAATTTCATTAGCTCTTGCTGTGAATTTTAAATTAGGTTCTATATATTTATGCTTAGCTGCTTTAATAAAGAATATTATATCCCCTCCCTGGATGAAAAAGTAACTTCTCTTTGAATAAATTAATCCAATTCACAGACAATTAGCTAGTGGAACCACGGGGCCATAATGCTGGGGCTCTTAGTCGCCTTGCATTAAAAATCTTGATTTGGGGAACTCCTAGTAAGCATAAAATGCCTATGTGGGTCTCAAAAGCTTCATGTCGTGGCCAGCGTCCCGGAGCTCAGTGAGAGCGATACAATAAGCTCTTGCCTATTTTCCAGCTCTTCCAGAAGGCCAGGCAAACTGAAAGTGCTTTCTGTTCTTGAGGACAATCGGGTCGCGGCCGCCAGATCAACTAGTCCTGTAACTAAAAATCAGTCGATGGGGAACATTCACACAGCCGAACATTTTCCAACCTGATGATCTTTTATGAACTATTCCCAAGGGTGACTTGATACACACACATTTTTCTTTTTTCTTTTCTTTTTTTTTTTTACCTCTTTGGACAATGATGCATTTTGCCATCCACTGTGTTCAACTGTGAGAATGCTCACTATGACACACAGCGGAAGTCCAAGGCCCGGGGAATTAGGTGCCTAGCGTGTTTAGCCTTGGGACAGAAGGTAGGCCACATCACCGTGCTGCTTATCACCTTGGCAGGTTCTCAGAGTTGCTGAATAGGGTGCGGCTCTCCGGGACACGTGTCCCTGCTCTTGCGGGCAGGCTGCCTAGCTAATACCCGTGCCACAGAAGGGCAGGCATATCTGCTAACGGAGAATGTTCACTCCCAGGCTACCAGCTGTTGTACAGTAGAGCGCATTAATCTTCTGTCCTCGGGTGGACGGCTTCATGCACTTGACTCCTGTAGACAGACGGGGCCATGAAAGGCCAGCTGGATTCTGCCGGTCCGCACCCTGTCCTGCAGGCTGCCCCCCTGCTCCCGCCCCATTTGCCTCTTCTGCACACCATACAAAGTGGAAACTCACGGCTCCCACTGCCACTTCTGAGGGGACTAATGAAAAAAATCAGCTTTGGAAGAAGCGGGCGAAGAGAGATGACGTTAAAATATGCTGAATGTGAGGTTCCAGCTGACTGACTTTGCATTATTTTCCACCCCCAGGGTAACATTTTCCATGAGAACTGTTTAGAAAACCAGATGTGTTACATTTTTTTCCCTTTTCCTAAGCGTCTGGATGCATGGGCTGGAAACACCCAACACGTGACCTGAGACACGACAGGTTTAGGGCTAAGTGGCAGTCAGTCACTGGGTGCTCTCTGAGTTAATCACAGATGCTTTATAGAACTGCCTGACATCTCTTTGAAAAATGGTAAAAGCGGTAGGTTTCTGAGGATTATTTGCAAAGTAGCGTTGTATTTCCTAACTAGAGCCATTGCTGGAAAACTCACTCCACGCGTTAAGAACTCCCCAGGGACACTGGCATAATGACATACTTCCTAATGAGTGTAATTAAACATTCATTTGAAAGTGCAACCTCTTTCTTGAGTCATATTATTCAGGGGAAATGAAGGGCGGATGGGCGTGCAGAGAAAATAGCTCTTTAGTTGTGAAAATCTGATTTGTCTAAGAAGAGAAAGCAGACTGGGGCGGCGGGGAGTGGGGTTGGGGAAAGACACACATCCCCGAGGCCTGCGCTCAGACATCACGATTTTTCTCATTTGGATCTGAGCCAGAGTTCTGATGACAACCCTCTCCCACTTGACCCTCTGAGGCTCAGAGGGAGGAGCCGCAGCTGTGGGGTCCAGCACACAGGGCGTGCCCAGAAATGTCTGTGGTCCGGGAGCCACACAGCCCCACTCCGGGTCACTGTGCACTTCGGGCCCACCCGGACCTGCCCCTTCCTGCCAGAGCCAAGGGTCTAGGCCTTGGGGCTTCTGGCTGTGCCCTGCAGAACCCTCAAAGAAGCAACACAGGATCGGAAAAGACTCAGACCAGGAAGGCTGCGAGGAAGAAAGCTTTAACACTGGGTACTTCCCAGGGTCTCTCAGCACTCCAAAGCCGACACAGCTGCTGTTTTGTAGAGAAGTGCAAAAAGTCTGGGTGGCATCAGTAGTATCTTTTGGCTGATTAAGCAGGGGCTATCTGCTTAATAATTAATAAATGTGACATTTGGCAACATTCATAATGATTTCATATTATGCACTGAAATCCCATCTCCATATACGCTTTTCAGTTTTTCTAAGTGCCATCAAAAAAAATTTTTTTTTCAAGTGGCCCAAAAAGAACTTGAAACATTTTATACATGTTTGGGATTTAAAAAAAAAAAATGCTTTTTCTTTCTTCCTTATGCATGAGGTTGCCAAATTCATGAGGCCGCTGATGCTCATTCAGCCAAACATCAACAAAAAGAGCCCTGTACCTTCTTCCTCTGGCCCCGAGGAGGGCGCTGCCCCCGGTAACGTCTCTTTCGTGGAAGAATGGTCAGCCTTTCTAAAGCCACAGATCCTTCTACACACCATTCTATAATTCCCCCTTCTCCTTCTCAGGTACGTTGGCCGGCCCTTCCAATTGATCGGATCCTACCATGCCCCTTATTGACATGTGTAAGGCAAATGGACCAATGGGCTGATGCTGAAATGAAGCCTTAATGATATGATTTCTAGCACAAGCACAGTGACAGGCCACCACAGGCGCTCAGAGTTTTCCGCTCCCCGGAACACAGCACATAAAGTTAGATGACCCAGACGTAGGCTAGGAGTCTATTCTCCCAGGTGTGGGTCAAATGAGGAGCTGGAACCTGGGTACTCACCTGCCTGTGGAGCTGTCCCCCGTGTGCAGGCTGCAGCCTCGATCCGTGGTCACCAGTTTGCACCGCGGGGTGTGCAGAATGCTCTCCCATCGAAAAGCCACAGCCTGGACCGTTGTCATCTCGGTCTGGGCTGTCTCCCTTGGGCTCCCCCTGAACTCCAAGCTCACCGAGCCTGGGGAGGGTCTCTGGATGCTCGCTCTGCAAACAGCAGGAGACAACAGTCACAGCTCTACCCCGACCCCTTGGCTTGCAGCCTGGCTTATTGCTTCAGGGAAATTCTCCTCTTTATGGGTTATCATGTCTTGACTTCTCAGCCCTTTCCTGAACATGCTCAGTTAGGCCATTTCACTCACTGGCCACCTTCTTCAGGTAAACAGCACACTGTGGGTACCCAATCGGTCAGAAAAGATTGGAAATTTGACTGTACCTTATTTTATTATTTATAAATTATTATTGATTACAGGTACGGTGTTATAAGCTGGAGGAGGAGGAATTCCAAAGCACTGATCAGCAGTAAACTTTACAACCACTTCTAGGCTTTGCTCAAAGGTGGTTTTCAATGTCAAGGTTATCTGGAAGCAGGCTGAATTAATTTGGGAAGACTTTCCTCCCCGAAGAAAGAAACAACGGTATCTGCCCCTTCCTAGGATGACTTAAAATTACATACAGTGAAAAGCAGATGAAAAGTCTTTGGGGGCTAAGAGGAAACCAATATTCATGAGGCCCTGAAGCAGCAGACAAAGGAGCCAGGGGTGTGGCTGCCCAGTGCACATCCCGTGGCAGTGGCCAGGGGTGTGGCTGCCCAGTGCACATCCCGTGGCAGTGGCCAGAGGTGTGGCTGCCCAGTGCACATCCCGTGGCAGTGGCCAGGGGTGTGGCTGCCCAGTGCACATCCTGTGGCAGTGGCCAGAAGGCAAGGCCCGAAGGAGCCCGCAGGGCTAAAGGCCACAGGGACTGAATCATTCAGAATCAACCAGAAAGCAAATGACTCTGTGCTATTTCTGTGATGAATCTGGGAGTGCAGGCAGAAGCGGAGGGGGGGGGAACGTATACAAATGTCAGAGGTGGCAAAACTCAGACCCATCTGGAGCAGAGCAGAGACCCTTATCAAACCGCATGGGCAGAACTGGCTCTAGCATTTAGGAACAAAAACCAAAACGGAGAGGAGACAGAAAGATTCAGAACTCAGTCTGACAAACCAGCAAGGTTTCTCAAGAGACAAACAGGACCTCAGGGTGACAGTGCGCACGACTTCAAAGGTCAGCAAGGGGAAGAAATGGGCCACAGCTTCGCCGCACAGCGGAGTTCGAGACAAGGGCTCTGACAACGAGGCCAAGGGACAGCACAGAATTCTTGGTCTAATATAGAACTGGACGTGTTGCATTTCCCGTGCCTGGATTGGGCTTGATAAAATCATCCTAAGTAACAGAATGTGACTTTGTGCGTAGGGGTGTAGAGGGACAGCCGTGCCTGGGGGTCAAGAACAAAACGGACACAAATAAAATGAACTCTCTGTGGGGACTTGGGGGGGCAGAAATGATCTCTCCGTGGGGGCTGCAGGGGGCGGGTACCTCAGTGAAATCCTCGCCTTCCTCCTCCATCTGCTTCCCTTGCCTCCAATGCTTCAGCAGCCACCGGAGTTTGACGTAGAACAGGAAAATGTTCTGCTTCAAGGACCGGAGCTCCTGCTGCATCAGATTCCTCTCGTCGCTCCAGGTTCGCTCATGGAGGGTGTTTTGCAAAGCCAGGCTGTGCATTTCTAGTTCTTTCCACCTTAAGGCATAGAGGTGCTCCTCCTCCATCTTGAACGGAAAGAGAGACATGAGTGTGACAGCAGCTATTCCAATGTGCCACAAAACCAAACCAAGTTTTGATCAAGTTGCCCCTGGGATGAGAAACACAGACTCCCCCAAAGTCCAGGAAACTCCTTGAGAGGTGTACTATTTAGGAAACCTCAAGGGTTTTCTGATTCGGAAGCAAACGCTATTTCAAACCAAGGTGTTATCGTCAGTTCTCATTGTCAAGTCTCTCGTGGTGTTTTTGGAGGTCTCTAAACTTCAGGAAAATCGTTTCTTGGATGGACGGCTCACAGCGGACTTCCATGCCGATTCCCTTTGCCCTCTGTTTGTGGGCCTGCAAAAGGCACACTGCAATTGGAAGCGGGGGGCGGGGGTTAAGTGGAAACCCTTCTCCTTGGTTTCCTAAGCCTTCTGGTGTGCACCACCCTCAGAAGACAGGAGAAAGCAAGCTGATGGAAAGGCCCACAGAGAGCGGGAAAGCGAAGTGGGTGGATGGGGGAGCAGGGGTTGTCCTGGAGGCAAGGTCCTCTGCCACAGATGGTGGGGAGCAAACAGGAAAGTACGCTGAGAACCTCCTTCCACACTTAGGATTCCACATTCTCATTGGCTACAAGTAACTCAGGGAAATAAAGCATTGCTGTAAAAGAAGTGTTTTCCATTTCTATGCTCAGTTCCTGCTTTTCAACATGGGTACAGGCGCTCTTCCAAGCAATAACAATGATTATGTCGGTAATGACTAAGCAAAGGGGGTGTGAATAGAATCTTACTGCACAGATAAGGGCACAAAAGTAATATCAATAGTAGCTAAATGAAAGCTTTCTGTTCCACAGACTGGGGGAGAAAAAGGATTCTAACGCCAGCCTTGTAGTTATCAGCTGTCCTCTCCCAATTTAACACTCCCTCTTGGCCAAACACCAAGGCTTTGAGTTTTGTTTTACTTTCCTAAAGGACTCGATTAGTGCTCGAAAACCCATGGGGTTGTGACTATGGCTGCCTGTGGTCGACACCATCCTATGTGTTAATGCCGGTGAAGAGGGAGAGGCAGCTCTGGGAAGACCCCGGCTGTGCACAGAGACTGGTGTGGTCACTGTTATAACACCAGATCTTTACTGCACTTCAAGCTGGGAGAACACAAAAATAGTGGTGGTTTAATTCCCCATCTCAGCAGCCCTCAGCGTCCCACCATGGGTCCTCTTCCCGGTGGGCACAAGAGCAGGATGAGCGGGGAGGGGAGCAAGTCTTGTCTTCAATACACTCCTTTGTTTTGAACCCAAATACTACACATACCTGGGACCCTGCTATTTTGCTCTTAGCATCTCCAGGGATAAACTCACTTCCAGGGGTAACTTTTGGTGCAGGAAAAAAAAAACTTAAATTATTTAGGAAACGAGTGCTCGTGTCTGTGACTCCCTTCTCCTAGCAACTCTGGGAATTAAAGGATTCTGGATTTAACAACTCTGGATTTAACAGATCATGGATAATTAGCCAGTAACAGGTAATTCTAAGATAAGCGAGAAGAGTTAATAAGGCCTCAGCTCAATCAACAGCAGTTTTCTGAAGACAACCATTGAGGGTGAGTCGTTGGTATTTCTCTCAGAAAATTTACCTAACATTGGGAAAGCTTACAAATCTGCATGATTATGAAAGTAATGGACACCCTTTCCTGTCCAGGTGTGTTAAGACCCTCTTTGAGTCTCCTTTGCTGGCTACAGCTACATAGGTCAGATGTTAGGAAGAACTTCCTGAGACCACAACATAAATAGTGAAAAGCATGTTTTAGAGGAGGAAGACGGACAGCTGTCTCCGTGAGAGGTCCTCGGGGCAGCTCAACCGGATCCAGGAGTCCAGGAGCCTGCGAGTGACAGACAACGCTCTTTCAAATACATCCTGTCGCCTGTCTCCAGGGGGCTCCTCGCTCAGAGCCCCGGTTGTGCTGAAATTGTGTTACATATTTACCTTCCGAATCTTGTTTGTAAATTTCTCTGTCTCCTCTTGATGCAGTCTGGTCGCCCGCGTAAGCTGACCCTGCAGCTCCTCTAGCGATACACTCTGTTCAGGTAAAACAGGGGGGCCCCTGAGCTGATCGGTGGGATAAAGGAAGGGGTTTAGTGGAATCAAGAACTCTGCCTGACGGGAAGACGCAGGACAGACATCTGCACAAGCCAGGGACACACACGGAGCGACACAGCATGGGCAGGCGCTGTAGCAGTGGAGTGAGTTCAGCGGCAACTCGGGGCCCTGGGGTTGTCTGTGACGGGCAACCACGGCCGTCCTCAGCTCCCACCTGGGAGACAGGTGCTTAGCGGTGCCTGTCGCCCGAACGTGGGCCACCACCGTCCCTGTCACTCAGGCTGAGCCAGCGGTGGCAATGACCAGCTCATACAAGTTGGTCTTTAAGATTCACTGCCTGAGTTCATTCCAGGTTGCAGCATTCATTTGCTCCGAGGCTTTCCTAGCAGAGATTTTCCTGCCCCGTCAAGAGTGCCTTTGTTTCCTCTGGGCACCAGGGATAAGTGGGGTGGGGTGTCTTTGGGGACCAGAAACATCTTTTGAGTTGCACACATTGCCTAAGAGGAACTGCACAAAGATCCACTTATTACATTTTGGATTAAAAATAGCTAAAGGAATCCTTTTTCATGCCCTTTACTGGTAAACTCTACCTTTTGGTAAAAGCCTGTCTTTTGTGCCTTTTATATCCAAATGGCAATGATCGAGAAATAGGGGCTATTATGTTTTAAGTAAAGTGTATTTTTTAAGAAACGGAAACGGTTATATTTAAGATTCTCAGGCATTACTAAAATCAAAGCATGACGTTTTATCCACTTGGTTTATGCTGCTTGAAGGCCGGGGTTCATAAATCCAGGAACTAGAGTGGATTGTTGCAATAAAAATAGAACCTACTGGTTCATTCTGATGAGCTAATCTGTCCTTTCTCACAGAGGATACTGTTCGCTCATCCTAAATGGATGTGACCTGGGTTGTTGGGACCGAATATCATGCCCCAAGAACAGAAAATGGAGGGGGAATGGAGGGAAGTGCAGATCTCCTCCTTTAGCACAAGGGATGATCAAGAGTTTATAGGAAGAAGGATGACGACAGAAAATCAGAGACACTGGGGATTTGCCAACTTTTGGGTAACACTTCTGGAAGCTAGATATTTCAGTTCACCTACTTTCAAGAAATCAGGAACTACTGACGACCATCATGCCTCTTGGAGTTGTTTATTACTAGAGATGATTACTATAGACTTTTATATTTACTAGGCTGGGCTTCCAGTTCTCGCTGAAAAGAGGCATTTCTCCCCACATTAAACTTAACGCCAATGACTAGTTTCTCATTTTTAAGAGAACTACTTTATTGTTTTTTAGTATGTATAGTCTTTTACAGTAATGACTTAATCTTTTCTCCTGTTTGCCTGCCTTTCGTAGTTGTGAACACACCTACTTTGTCATCTCTGATGTTCTAGAAGAATCTGAAGACATGTCTGGGAGTAGAACCCTGCTGTTGGCCATCAGCTGGCTCTTGCTCCAGGAGCATGTTTTTGGCTTGTGTATTTGCGGTTTTGCACTGTGAGCTCATCTTCGGTGGGGATTAGCTATGATCTTGTATGTAACCTGGGTTGAGGATGGGCCTCCAGGATGGCTTTGTGTTCCCAGAAGCCAGTGACAGAACACCAATTCTCCTTCCCTTGGAGACTCCTAGGCCACCAGGTGACATCAGTTCAAAGTCTGATCCTGGTGAGGCTGACTGTCGGGTATGGTAATGTGGGGGGAGACTTCATGCTGTAGACAAGCTTCCCTCTACCAACAGGCAGACGTCTCTCCAGCTGAGGCTTACACAGTGTGCAGCCCCTGGAGGCCCTGGGTCATTGCTCTCTCCACCTGTGTTGGGCCCAAGGCCCTATGTCCTGTTCCTATGCAGCTATTAAAGCCTAAGGCTCTGGGTTCCCAATTCTGGCAACTCTCCCCCTAACCTGCTCCTAAAAGCCACAGACACTGCTGCTCTGATGTTCCCTTCTCAAACCAATTCCAACCCCTGAAGATTTTCCTAAATTTGGGGAGAATTCAGCTACCTATTTAAAAAGACATCTTCTATTAGGCGACACTTTATTCAACAAGTATTTATTGAGCACCTATAGTACTCGGCACTATACTGAGGATTTACGAGTACATAAAGCTGCCCCAAATCCCTGCCTTCCTGGGGCGTCCCACTTTGCACAGAAGTGTCTTTAGGTGCCTTAGGCTACTTTCTTCCCAGCTTTACTTTTTTTAGCTACTCATTATTCTGTACATTTAAGATATAAAACCCCTCCATATTTGGATACATCTCCTACTAGCCTAAGAATCCTCCATATGCAGAGATGTTGAAAAGGGCATCCCAGGGGTGCCTGGGTGGCTCAGTCGTTACGTGTCTGCCTTCGGTTCAGGTCATGGTCCCAGGGTCCTGGGACCAAGCCCCACATCAGGCTCCCTGCTCCACGGGAAGCCTGCTTCTCCCTCTCCCACTCCCCCTGCTTGTGTTCCCTCTCTCGCTGTGTCTCTGTCAAATAAATAAATAAAAATAATTTTAAAAAAGAAAGAAAAAGGCATCCTAATTAAGCCTATCTTTCAAGAAAACCAAAGATGTGTTAATTTAGTTTCTATACATGAAACCAACCAAGTTAGTTTGGCTTAAATCTTAATGAATAATGTAGATAAACTGTTTTTTATTTTAAACAAATATATGAGCCTCATACCTAAGCACTGATTAAAAAATGTGTCCCTCTATTAGAACCCCAACTTCAAAGGGTCACCTTGAAGATGAAAAGGACCCTTGAAGTCTTACGAAGTTGTTCATCTGGGGCATCTGGTTTACCTATAGTGGCTCCCTGTCACCCGTGGAAATGGGTCAACAACAGAAACTTCCTCATCTGCTACAAGTTTTATTTTACTGTCCATTTTTGATGACGGAATCTTAAAACCCCTCAGGCAAGTTCAGTGTTCCTAGCTGGGATGCCGTCACTCCAGTGTTACAAAAAACAAAATACGAACATGCTACAGTCCAAGTTTCCGTCCAGAATTATTCCACTGCCACACAATTGCATCCAACCACATACATTAGGACCAAGTGTTCACATGACACATAGATGTCCTCTAGAAAATAAATACTTCCCTTCATTAACAAATTCCCAAAGGGTTGATTCTAAAAGCCATCCTTGACCCACTTACCTAAGATTCTGATTGTACATCAAATTCGCCTTGACCTCTCTCTACGTAAGGCAGTCTATTGCAACAAACACCATCCTTACTTGATCCCAAGGCTGTGGAGACGTAGCGAGCTCGATGTCACAACCACCTTCCCTGGCAATGTCCTGAATGCCACCACCCATGCTTTCCCCAGGTGGCTGAGTCCCACACCACTTTACCATGGGAATTTCTGGACCTCTTCAGAGAAAGTGGCTTATAGATCACTTTCCACGCTTAAGAAGTCACCTGCATTATCTTGAAGCAAAAACAGGAGTGCTTTTCATTATAGTCGCTACTAGCAATGCTCCTTAAATAACAGGACTCTATTCTACCTCTATCCCCAGGACTTCATTTTCTGGTGAGTTCCATTTTGTTCTGGCCAGTTTTGTTACTGCTTTTTCCAAAAGTCATAGAGGAGGTCAACGCCCATGTACACATACTTGGCATAAAACCCCACATCATTTTACCACGGCTGGTATTTCACAGCTGGGGCATGAGGGGTCCCAAATGCTTCATGTATGTCGTTGATTAAGGGATCAAAGGAGGAGCTTGGGAAGAGAGCTCTTTGAGATTTCTGATCTAGAAATTCAATCCTCTGGGTATGGGCTCGGTATCATTTATATCTGAAATGTGACCAGGGCCCATGCTTGGCCACTTCTCATTCAGAACTATTTTTAAGGCGCCCCGCACATTCCAAGCTACGTATTCTACACACTGCTCTCTCTTAACAAGTTGGAATCTCTCAGCAGATTTGTCAGGAGCTGCAGGGAGCAAAGTCAGGGAAGAAATCTGGTGCATGGCAGGAGCATCTAGCTAACATCTACTCAGATGAATAGCACCAAAAATATCTGTCCTTCTGAAGTCTGTTTTTTTTTTTTTTTTTGCCCCTGAGCTAATTTTGGTGTGCTTACATTAATGGGTTAGTGGGTTCTAGTGCCTTCTGACTTTAGCTTGTTCTGCCTCTTCCTGTTTTAAGAGTGCTGGGTGTGGGTATTCCCCTCCCTCCCTAAGATGAGTGTGTGTCCCAAGCGGCAGGCTTTCTGCAGCACAGATACATCACCTCCTGAAATGCTACCCTGTTCGAAGGTGGTTTTTCCTTTTCTCCTTCTTGGTGTTCTTGCTCTTACTGGTGCTAGTACTGCGAGTAGTGGTTTAACCCAGCCCAAACACCCAAATCATCCAAAATAAGAATACGCCTTCTCTCCTCTTACCCCAAACATGAAAATCTACACAGATTTCAGAGAAGGCATTTCACAAATGGAACTTGAGAAATTGATCCTTTGTTAAAACTTCCGCTCAAATACAGAAAGTTTTTTTCCTCTTTGAAGCTGTTTGAGACTAGGCGTCCTTTCAGCTCCCCACTCCAAAGAACTCAGGGCAGAGCTAAAGGAAATTCACACTTGCAGAGTATGAATCAGCTTGCACAGACAATTAGTAATTTCAAGGAATGTAAGAGAAGGAAGAACACTACTCGAGGTACATTGACTTCAGTCTTGGGCCCATTCTGGATGAAAGTGTCCGAGTTCACCTTTTCTGCAGTTACAGGGTGCTCTGGGGTGTCGGGCTGTGTGCACGAGGCTCCACCGGGAGCTACTTCTAGGTCGGGCTGCCCTGCTCAACAGATGGGAGCTCCGTGCACCATTTCATGACAGCTTCATTAGAAAGTTTTGGGCAACGGATCTGGAGATGTTTTCATTAAAAGGCTTTTTACGAGGTCTGCCTCTAGCAATGTTCATTGTCCAATTCTTTAAGCCCCATGTAATACTGGAAGACCAAACTAAGCAGGGGACACCCACCCCAGGGACCGAGCAGCTCCTATAAGACCTCCAAGGGGTCTATGCTGGGCTTCTATCATAAAAGGAAAAACTACAGAGCTGTTCAAGTGGTCCTAGAATACGTCTTATCTTTAAAAAAAATATTTTAAAATAGAACGTGTTTGCCTACATAATTGAGTCTTCTGTGTGAAATGCCTTAAGGGATAAAAAATGTCAGAACAAAGGATGTTTCAGTCCCAATGGATGCTAGCCCCCTCCTAGGAAATGATGCTCTCTGGGACTTGCCTTTCACCATGAGCTTTTTAACTTTCTCATCAAACTATAAAATTAAAGGAAACTGAAGATGTTTAAAGGAGGTGACACAGCATGGCAAGAAAGCTGGTGTGCTGCCAGTCACCTGAGTGACCTCGAGTGGACGGAGCTCTTCTGAGCTGTGCTCCTCACAGCAGGGTGGGGAGAGGGCTGAAGCAGACCTAAAGGGACCATTCTAGACCCAGTTCTCTCACCAATCCCCCAGGGGCTTCTGGCAAGACGCCTCACTCTCAGACCTCCATTTTCTCATGCACGGAAGAGGCGGAATTTGCCTGAAGATCTGACATTCCCTTCTGAGCTATACTGTGCAGTGATCCCAAGTCACCACATGGCACTGGCTAGCTCTGCTGATCTACTTCTCAGGGAGGTTTATTTTCCCGTATCACCTAATCTGAGTGAATGAACTAGGTTTCTCTCTCCCAAGTCAATGGTTTCTTAAGGTACGCGATGCCATGTGTGTATATGGCAGGCAACGGAGAAACTTATCAACACCTCAGTGTTAAACAACAGCTTATCAGCGTTTAGCTAAACACGGTGACGTGTAACACACCTTGAGTGATGAACATATGGGAGGGAAGCGGCAGTTAGCCTAAAACTGTTATCCTGGAGAATGGGGCTGCCGTGTTCAGCCGGAGCCATGCCTGTGCAGATCGGAAAGCAGCCAGGGGAAGATGAGAAAGGGCTACAGTGGGCAGAGAAAACTGGTTCCAGAACTAGGGGAGCTGTGACACCCCTTCCCACCTGGCAGGCTTCAGTGGCGGGACACCTTTCCCCTCCTTATTATTAGTCAGACTTTACTTTCCCACAGCACTTAGCACTGTTCATGCTACTTTCTCAGCCAACAGTTCCCCGGCTCTGAGAATCATCCACATATAATCACAGAAGGCAGCTAGGACAGTATTTTTCTTCCCATATCACAGATGCGAAAACAGAGGCTGAGACCTGCTTGAGAAACAGAGCTGGTAATGAACAGAGCTGGGCTCGAGCCCAGGGCAAGAGTGGATTTCAGCACAGCATGGCCTCCCTGCTAGAAAGAGCTAGGGGTGTGGTATTCACTGAAGACTAGGAAATGTGTCTCCCTGGGAACGAATCATTCAGTGGTTTTTGAAATGTGCGTAACTTCGAGCTTGCTACTGCCCAAGCAACCAGCATTCTCAGACGAAGCCCCTGTGTGGGGCACAGGCTGATCGCCGGGGTTTCCTGTAGAAGTTTCACAGGTTATAAGACACACCAATCCCTAAATCCACATTTGCTTTTACATAAGCTTTGAGGGCAGTTTTCAGGTCACTGTGTGCCCAAATCAACGAGGGTAGAGATGTGACGTACTCTCCCACAGGAGAGAGGAAAAGCCCACACTGGAGATCTGGGAACTCAGGTCTGGATGAACCAGCAGTCCCATGTGCCCAACTGGGACCAAGGGACCCACAGCTCATCCCAGCATTGGCCGCAGGTTGAGCTGAAAGGACGTGGCTCTACCCCAAGTGCCTCGGTGAGCATCACTTCCTAGTCAAACGCCTGACTTTTTTTGCTGAGTGAGCTCAGTGTGTTTCCAGGAGTGAGTCCCCTGTCTTTGTCGCCCCTGCCATCTGGGAGCCACCAGGATTGGTTGGAGCTGAGCAGTAACACCCCTATTGGGACTGATGAATTAAGAATTTCAGCCAGACCTTGTCTAGGGTGGAACATGGTACTCTACCCCTGCACTAACCTGCCTTGACGAGCAGCATCAGAGAGAGGAATTCATTCCTTGGGGACACCTGTCTCTCTGTCACAGGTGGAATTACTTGCCAGAAGAGCTTCCACCAACAGGACTGCCGACCCCCGTTTCATATGATGGAATAGCTTTGGTAGCCTCGATGGGGGTCGGGAGTTTTGTTGCCAAGAGGATGCTATGGCAACAGAGAACCCCCAGGTCGGGAGTGTACTCCCCGATTCTGCCCATTGGCTGGAGTCCTGCCATCAGAAACTACAGGACAGGCCACATGAGACACGGGGAAGGACAGTTCCCTCCAGCCCAGCAAAGACAGTGCTTGGCATTCATGCCTGTTTCCTTTCCTGTTTGACACGAAGCTACAGAACACTCACAGATCAGTCCCCTGGGCCTTGCTGAGTTTCCAGGTGTCCACAGCAGGACGATACTTGTCGGACAAAGGAGCTGGCGGTCTGCCCGCCTTCACCCTGTGTGGATCCTCCCATTCCAGTCACATGCAATGGATTTTGATTTCGCGGGGATTCCCGCCTGGTTCCACACCCGCCCACCACGTCCCTTAAGGGCCCTGGACCCAGGTAGGAAACATCACACGACCACACAGCCGAAGGAGGGGTGGGAGGGCGGGGGTTGCTGGCCGATGGGGCCAGGCGGTCGCTGACCTCAAGACCGAAGCAGCTCTGGCCTCCCAGCCGGCAGCTCCCGGCGTCCCCGTCGGCCCGGCGATGCAGAGGCTCCGGCTCGTCCCCGTGCTCCTGCCCCGGCTGCCACTCCAGCTGACCTCTCAGTTTGGACTGTCAGGTGCATGGGAGGGATTCGGATTTGTTTTGTTTTTAATTTGCAATAAACAACGAAGGAGCCGGGGGGGGGGGGGGGGTAGGGAGGAGCAGGGAGGAGGTTGCTAAAGGAAACAGACGGGTGAGGCAGATGACGGAAACCACTGGAGGAGGAAAAGCATGAATGGACACAGCGTCGCACGAGAGGGACGAGCACAGACCCAAAATGAGGATGAGCAAAAACGATCTGAGAGATCTGCAGAGCAAACAAGAGACACAGAGGGGGAGGAAGGCAGAAGACCAGTTACACGGCACATGCAATGGGGATGCGTGAATCAGAGACTTGACCGCAAGCACACTACCCACGAAGGATACGGAAACAAGGCTCCTCCTTCCTCGATTGTGGTCGAGCAGCAAAAGCCATAATCCAGGTGTCAGCTGGGTCATGCACCCAAGGGCGATGCATAGGAAAGCAGTTCTTGGAAGGCCACTCCACTCCGCCCTCGCCCTCAGCTCGGGGAGGGCAACGACCTTCTCCGTCAGCGCCATCCTTTTCCCGGGCCGGCTCGTCTCCCCACTCTGGCTCATCTTCCAGTGGGAGCGGGTGGGCCTGGCTGCCTAGGGCCTCTCGGACCCGCTCGGGGCCCCTCTGGCCATCATCAACCCAGGTAGGGACGCACTTGCTCCTGAGCGAGTCTGCTAAGTATCCTGACTGTGAAATGAGTTTGTACTTTGTTTTAAACTCCTCTGCTTCTTCATCGAGATGGCCAGTCGTTTGAGACACCAAAAAAAAAAAAAAAAAAAAAAAAAAAAAAAAAGAGAGAAAGGATGGACTGCGTCGATCCCTATCGCTTCCATTGGGGTGAGCCTTGTGTCGTGAGGGAGGGCCTCTAAGCCAAGAGCAGCGGCGCAGTTAAAAAAAAAATAAAGAGAGGAAAAGGAAAAAGAAACAAGGAAGTAAAAGAAAACTTAAAAAAAAAAAAAAAAAAAGAACCCAACCAATAGAAAGGGTTTGGTTGACACTTGAGGCTTTAGTACAATGCAGGTTTGAAATCATAACCAAGCAGCCGTGAGCAGAATGAGTTCAAGTGCAGCAATGCCAGCGAGGAGGAGGAAGAGCAAAACGGAGCAGGGAGGCGGAGCCAGGAGCCCCCTTACCTGCAGGTCCGGGACCAGCTCCTTCCCCAGGTTCCCGACGGGGGAGTCCCGGGACACGGAGGTCACAGTGGAGAGAAAGCTGGAAGACTCTGTGAGGTGGGGCAGGGGGGACAGGCCTTCCAGGCGCTCCCGCAGGCCGTCCCCGATCCGGTTCACCTGCTCCAGGAAGGCCTGCAGCTCCTTCCTAAAAGCCTTCATCCTCGAGTTGATGGTCCCCAGCAGCGGGGGCTCCTTCTTGCCCCCCTCGCCCGTCTCCCCTGCCCCCTGGACGTCAGCCCCCGGCGAGGCCTCCCCACTGCTCTGCAGCCCCGCATCGTCGCCGAAGCCGGCGGTGTCCGTGATGAGGCGCTCCACGGTCCGCTCCAGCCGCTCAGCCTCGTGCTTTATGCTCGCCAAGCACTCGGTGTCCTCCCTGGCCCGCAGGAGCTCGGCCGCGCAGGGCTCGCTCGCCTCCGATGGCTTGCCGCTGCCGAAGCCCGACGTCTTCTCGAACATGTCCTCCGAATCGCTCTCGCCACCGATAGGGCCCTCCCGCTTGGGCTGGGGCTGGCGGCCCTCCTCCCCGTCGCTCTCCTTCTTGCCCTGGTCGCTGTCGGCGTCACTATCCCGGGGGCTCGGGGCGCGCGGGCCCAGGTGCGCGGCCAAGTCGTAGCGCTGCACGTTGGACAGCAGCACCCGGTTCTCGTACTGCAGCTTCAGCACCTTCCCGCTCAGCTCGTTGATCTGCAGCCGCGCCGACTTGAGCTCCTCCTGCAGAGGGGCCCCGTTGCCCGCGCCCTTGCCCGCACCCTCCGCCAGCCACCCGGGCTCCGGCCGGGGCTCAAACTTAAACTTGCTCAGCTCATGCGTCAGCTGCCGGTTGTGGTCTTCAATCTCGGATATGGACCTCCGGAGCAGCTCGGCTTCCTCCTCCACGAACTGCAGGTGCCGGCGGAGCTCCGCGGAGGACTCCAGGGAGTCGCCAAAGGGTGAGGTAGGAATGCTCGCCACGTGGTCCCGGCCTGAACCCTCTCGCTCATACTGGACCCGCAGGTCCTCCATCTCCGCCTTGAGGCCCCGGTTCTCCACCTCCAGCTCCACGATCTTCCGGCCCAGGATGTTGGCCTCCTCCTCCACCAGCTTCAGCCTCAGCTTCAGCTCCGCCTCCCTGGTGCTGGGTGGCCCACCCGCCTCCCCAGTGGGCAGAGGGCTGTCCACGTCTCCATACAGGGCCTTGTACTTCTGGAGCTCCTGTTCCAGCGCGTCCTTCTCCCTCCCCAGCTTGGCCATCTTTTTACGCATCAGGGAGCCTTCCTCTTTGGCAAACTGAAGCTGGCACTTCAGATCGGTACTGTCATCCTGCCAGGAGAGAACAGCCCAAGAGAAGGGTTATTTGAAAATACCACATGTCCGTGTTTTTTTTTTTTTTAATTTCCCTTGCACCTCGCTCTCCAACACACACACATGCACACACACACACACACACACACACACACACAAACAATGATCTTTCCATCAGCATGTTGAGTTACAGGTCAAAGGAGCCAAGACAATGCCATCATGAGCCCAGGCCTTCACGGACCAGACACGGCAAAGGCCTACGGCCTGTGGCTTTGTCTCAGAAACCGAAGAAACCAAACAATTCTTTTGGGGACAACATGCACGTGGAACCCATGATACAGGTGACGACGGCAGAGGACGTAGAAGGAAATGAGACCCGGTGCCTGTTAGTGACACGGCAGTCCCTCGCTACTGTGTGGGTCCATCCGACGAGTCACCAGCGCCGGTGAGAGATGCCGGAACTCTCACTAAGCCTGGGGTAGCAGACAGGCTTCAGAAGCAAGCTTGACGTGTTGCCATTCATTTCCTCCAGTGTGGACCTCGCCATCTAAAGCAGCCAGCAGCCCACAGGGGTTACCAGGATGGGGAGTCCCTATCAGAGCCCGACACTGCACTGGCTTGCTGAGACCCTGAGGTGTGACAATTTGCCTCTACTCCTCCCCTAGTCTCCCCACCCCATGCATATCCCAAGGATGACAGGAGGACAAGGACATGGGATGACAGGCAGGAGGGGGCTTTTTGGAAGCCATGGTGTGGAGCAAGTACACGCTCTTGCGGTTAGGATGAACTGTTATCGCAGACCTAACACCTGGGTTACCCCCAACCTTTCACCAGGCAAGGGCAGGCAACGTGAGAGCCCCCTGCTTCTGTTCCACTCCCTTTACTTGCTCTAACACAGCAGGAAATGAAACTCAGAAACCCCAGGCCAGAGTTAAGTGTTGCAAAACCAGAGACGTGGTTCTCACTGGAATCACTACAGGACTCTGTAGGGTCACCAAAGCAGACTCTCTGCCACTAAAAAGCCACACTTGCATGGCTGAGGTCCTGAAGGCAGGTTCTGGACCATTTGGAAATCTGACTGTACCTTCCTGGGGCAGATCTCCATGCCTGGAACCCATTGGAACTGTGATGTGGGCCTGCAGAAATGTTTCACTGGTCTCATTCATGAGTGGGAGAAATGACGGATTTCGTGAACTCATTGCTCTCTGGCTACTACAAGTTTCCAAAGGCTGCTGTGGGGGCAAAGACTTTGGCAAAGGCTTCCCCACCACCCAGAGAGACCCAACAACATGGTCTATGGTACCTGTGCCCCATCAACCCTTGGGGAGGAAGAGGCATCAAACCAGTCTCCTGGGGGGCACCTGGGTGGCTCAGTGGGTTAAAGCCTCTGTCTTCGGCTCAGGTCATGATCCCAGAGGCCTGGGATTATGACCCCATCGGGCTCTCTGCTCAGCGGGGAGCCTGCTTCCTCCTCTCTCTCTGCCTGCCTCTCTGCCTACTTGTGATCTCTGTCTAATAAATAAATAAAATCTTTAAAAAACAACAACAAAAAAAAACCCAGTCTCCCAAACAAGTCAACCCTCTGGGGGAGAGTGAACTTTCAGATCCTTGTGCTCAAAAGGTCCAGCAGAGTTACAGGCAGGTTTCGCCCTCAGAGAACAGGGCTCATTCTCTGCCCCGTCCTTGCTGCACACTCGTCATTATGTAGCAAGATACAGAAATACCCACCTTGGTGCCTCCCAACTGTCCTCCTTCTACCCTACCTCGATCCCTCCTCCTGTACCCCAAACCCATGGAAGGAAAAAATAAATGATGTGGCAGGGAAGCCTCAAGGAAAAATCTAAGGCCAACTGTGAGCCAGTGCCACGTGGGTAGGAAAGCCATACCGTATATAATCCTAAGACTAAGGGAAAAGCATGCTTGTTTGTTGATTCGTTCATTCTTTCAGTGAATACGGAGAATCCACCATGTACCTTTCCGGCGCGTTACTTTTAAATGACCCCAGTTTCTTAAAACTTTCAAAATCAGATCAAATGCAAACGTTTGGTTATTTGGTAAACACAGATCTGCAAGAAGTCGATGCATCCAAATGCAGAGAGGGTTCTGCCGTTCACACGATGGGACAGAGTTTGAATAAGCAAACAGACATACCAGGGGAGACAGACTGTCAACACTTTGTAAATGGATTAGCTTGGGGGTGAAAAGCCTAGGATGGGAGACAGGGCGTTGCCCTCAGCCCCAACATTCCACTTGAGAGCCCGTGTGTGTCCTTAGTCCAATATCTCCTAAATGATCCTGTCTCCACCTTGAAGCACAGAAATCCACCTCTGTATCTGAGGACCGCAGCTGACTTCATGGAAGAGAATGTCGCCAGCCCCAAGAGAACACCACCATCTGTCCACCTTGAGCCTGGGCAGACCCAGGAATGGGCAGGGCCCCCAGCTGGGACCAATGCCCCGCTCCCCCGTCCATGGACACCTGCAGCTCCTGAGGCCCTGGTAGGTAGAGGCCAGGCCGGAAATGGGTGGACAAGGGGCACTATTATCTGCATAGCTCAGACCAAGATCTGGGAGTCTCAGGTGATTTTCCCTGAGGATCTTCCCCCACGAGTTGAACTGAGAAACCGAGGAAGGCGGTAGGATCTCTGAGAGGCCTGTGGAACCCCGGCCTTTCCCAAAGGTTCAGAAAGGCTCAGCTCTAACTGCTTAGAGTAGGCAATCCGAGAGTCCTCACATCACATTGATTTCTAGAAACCCTAAACCTCATAACCCCCTCCCCCACCCACCACTCCCCACAAGTCTGACTAAAACCAGAACTGCTCTCCCGAACCTAGACCCCAGTCTGTTGAGAAGCAAGATTCTATGACGCACCCTAGGGAGAGTCCAATTCATAGATTACCTGAGGATTGATAAAGTATCCAAAAAGTCTTCTTGTTCCTTAAAAGCAGAAACTATACACACACCAGGAATTCTAAGGCGATTCAAGCATGCTGTCACGTCTACTCAACACCCATGCGCGACACCAGACCTGCCACCAATGCTAAAGCCGGTTTCCAAAGAAAAGACAATCTCTGGAGCCAAGGGAGTGTGTGCTCTTAGCGAAAGGGTCAGATTCGCTCACACTGGTCCGGGCAGCTGGAGCTGGGTGCTATGCCTGCGAGCCAGTGGCAACCCTAAGAGTGGGGGTGGGGGCGGGGTGGAGGAGGGGCAGGAGAAAAGAGGCCCAGGGAGCTGGGCTCAGTCTGTTCTGGCGGCAGGGGGCCACTCCTTCTCATGAGATGGGCAATCGCAGCCTCAGCGGGAGGAGCAAGAGGCTGGATCCCCATCTTACCTGGCAACCACACGCTTTCCAAAATCCTGCCAAAATTCCCGGGGAGGGGGCTAGGCTGAATCGTAAGCTGAAGGATATCGAGCTCTGGTTTCAAGAGATCATCAGCTAGCTCCAGGAATGCAGTATGAAAGCAGATGGTCCAGTCAAACTTTCCACACCACAGGCAGAGAAGGCAAGCACAGCACGGAAGGGAGGACACACATGGGACCGGGACCACCACTGCCACCACCGCCACCACCGCCACCAGCAGCCGGAAAGGCCTTGTCAAGCAGCAGAAATATATCGCTCTGGGTATATATTCTTTGGCTTGCAAGTCTGATGTCTAGCCAGCACCCCAAGCGCTGACTCCTCGCGTTCCTACCTTGCGCCGGGGTGCTGGTTTCCTTTGAGTTTTGGTTGCAGACCTGCAGTTTCCAAGGCGCTCGGGTCCACCGCTCTGCTGGACAGAATACTCCTTTCTCAATGATAGCACAGGCGGAAGGGGGACTCAACACATTCCCGGTGCCCGGAGTAGTTCTCAAGACACTTCGGAGAGCAGTGGCACCTGTTTCTCAGCCCGAGGGACCCCCCCCCCCCACCAGGGAATGCAGCGCCATATGGCTCAGTCCGTAACGGGGAGGTGGTCACCCTCTTAAGGGAGATCTGCCCCCCTCAGGAGCCAGGAAGCTGAGACACACTCGACGTCCAGGAGGGTCCAAGCTCCCAGCCCCGGGACTGTGGATTTTAATTTCCCCATTATTAGTGGATGGCAAAGTGAGATGAGGAGAGTAGCGAGGGCAGAGCAGAAATGTTAATCTTGGGCATTCCTGTTGTCCCATGGCCCAGTTCTCCTTGAAGGATGTTCTGGGCATCAGTGAGTTTGGCTAAAGGCACAACAGAGCAGATCGAGGGTGAAGTTCATGGGCAGGTCGGCAGAGCTCTCGGTTACCCAGATTTCTTGAACCTCTCTAATTACTACTTGTGCTAAGAGCTCAGGGAGCTGACATCCCACTCCTGCCTTTATTCTCTCCCAATACCTAATGCCAGTAGCATTCATATTTTTTTAATTTTTATTTATTTTTTAAATTTCTTTTCAGTGTTCCAGAGTTCATTGTGTATGCACATACCCCATGCTCCATGCAATATGTGCCCTCCACAACACCCACCCCTGGGCTCACCCAACACCTCCCCCTCCCCCTCTCCAAAACCCTCAATTAGTTCCTCAGAGTCCACAGTCTCTCATGGTTCGTCTCCCCCTCCGATTTCCCCCGACTCCCTTCTCCTCTCCATTTCCCCATGTCCTCTGTGTTACTCCTTATGCTCCACAAATAAGCAAAACCATATGATAATTGGAAAAAAAAAAAGGCAGAACAAGAAAGGAATCCAGGAAAGCAAGTGTTCAGAAGAGTTCAGGCATTTCTGCAGAACACACACCATGTACACAGAAAGGGCGATGCTGTTACCATCCCCCCGGCAAGAACACTGCACCTTCAATTAGGACAGTCTGGGATACTGTTTGGCTTGCACGTTAAAAAAAACAAAAACAAAAAAAAACCCAATACCGAAAACATTGCCTTACAAGGCACCCAACACCACACAAGCTGTACTGTTTTACTGTGTGAATGACTCTTAAGGCCAGAAAATGTTTCGCCAGTTGTGAGTGCTACCAGAGAGCCCTGAATTACACCAAATTATGCTTCGCAGAGTCCGTCTGTTTTTGCCTTTCTTGAAGAAATCACCAGCTTCTCGGTACGAGAAACAAAATGAAGGAGCTGGTGGGTTAGAGTGAACATTTTCACCCCACGGAGGTTTTGAGTGAGTCCCCATTTTTGGAGCAGGTCATGTTTCTTTGAATATTTTAAAGGCAACATGAGCACTTTTGAGACAATTCAGAATGAGGTGATCGCCCCTCGAGGAGACATAACATGAGAAGGGTCCCTCTGCTTACCTGGTTAAAGGTTTTCTTTTCTTTGTATGTTTCCCGGCTGCCTCTTCTTTTCAGGGAACTCTGAAATAGATCCAAGGGACATTCTGTTAGGGAGGGGTCATGGGCAGGAGCCGGCACCAGGCTCACACCGTCCCCACTGGTAGGGGACACACCCAATGGAGGGAGACTCTTTCTCCTACCTCCCACTAGAATCAAGGAACTATTTACAGCCAATGTTTAAATGCTACTGAATAAGCTCGGCAAAGTCTCTGAACCCTCACGATTGTATCTGGAGTGTTCCTCAATTATTCAGCTTAATGACAAGGGAGGTAGTTTGGATAATTTGAAATAGTGGGGGAAAGATGGGAGAAACGTGGGCATTTTAGGAAACAGATATGTAATGTTTCTGGAGCTGCCTTACCTTCCTAATTATGTTTTGTTGGGGCAAATATAAAAATTAATTGGTATGTCCTGAGTGCCTATGGGTAAACGGCCAGATTAACAAAGTGGTAGGAAAGGAGAGAAGGGTGGCCTGTGTTTAGGGAGAAAACCTCATCCAGGTTGCAACACAGCCCCCTTCGACTCATGACTAAACCTACATCTTCAAGTTCTTGTAAGTCCATAAGTGACTCATGGGATGTGGTCTTGGCTGTGTCCTTCAGTGGGCTGGGTCCCTGCCTAGTTCTACATACGGTGCCGTGCACTTCTGCCTGCTATCAGCACGAAATACATCTGAAATACAAAGAGGATTATAAATAAAAGGCCCAGGGAGTGTGAAATGGAACAGCAGGAAGCCAAGACAGTCCCTGTTAAAGTATGAAGACTGAAAGAACCAGCCAGCAGTTCAAGAAGCATCATAGGGGGAGACAAAGGGATGTGAAGCCTGCAAAGATGAAGGGAATCCTGAGATAAGCCAGGAGAAGGTGGTTTGGAAGGTTAAAAGACTTGCCAGCTCTCATTCAGACCCCAGCAAGCCTGTGAGTGGGAAGGGGCTTTCCTTGCCCGCTGGCCCCTCCTCTCCAAAGCCTTGCCATACAGGAAGCACCAGGAACAGACCTGGAAGCTTGGATCCTCTGGGAGTTCCTGTCAACGGGGCTCAGATCCTCTCTGCTCATTTCTTTGCTGCCCAAACAGCCTGGGAAGGAGGCTCCCACACGTCACTTACATCAGGGTCAGAGCTATAGTAGTGAACTCCGTTCTGTTTACATTCCAAGTGACTCACTCATAGAAGGCCAGCGAGTGCCATTTACTGGATGAATTTCGGGGTTATGAAACAATTCCAGCCACCCCTTACCCTCTAGGAGGCCAGAGGCCTGGAGAAAAAATAGCAGTTGCGAGAGGGTGAGAAGGTTACAGAATCAGCATGGAATGTGGGTGCTCCTGGGTCAGCCAAGTCGGTGTGTATGGAAACTGATTGTTCAAACCCAGCTGCAGAAGCAGCTTTGTTTCTTGTAGCCCTTTTTGGTAGAAGCAGGGTCAAAGTATAAAGAGAACCAGCGTCTTCCAACAAGTTATGTTAAGTCTGTGTTAAGAAGGACTTGAGATTTACTACCCAGAGTCCATAGGCTTTCCAAGATTCTTTACGCGGCAATGAAGGGGCTTCTTTGATTTGAATGAGCTGAACAAGATGAACGCTTCTGACGATTCATGACAGAGAAGAGTTACAATAAAGAAGCAGGGAGAGAAACCATTCCCAAGGAAGGCTTCAGCCTATGGTATTTAATTCTGGGACCGAGGTCTGCGCAGTCAGCCTGCTGTCCCAGAGTCACCCTCCATGGCATCATTTGCAACCCAATGACTACGAAACACATTCTGCACACCCGAAAGGAAACTATCTGGAAGTGATATGAGAGCTAGAGGTGGAGACAGAGGAATTACGGTGCTGCATTGGTTGGGGGGAGGGGGGGGAAACCTGGGCCAACCAATGGGGAGCCTGTCTGTGCACAGATCCCTCCAGCCGACCTGATGGGGTCTCCCCTTTGCTGAGCCCTGAGTGCAAGTGTGTCAGAGTCCCGTGATCCTTCTAGCGAATCACAGAACAGGTGTGGCAGGGATGGGAGGCATGGGATCCCCCACAGAGGTCCCAGTCACAGCGACAACTACAGGGAAAAACCATGCCCAGATTAAAGTTAACCAGAAACTGGCAGGAACTCTATGAAAGAAACCATACAATTTTGGTGCTAAACATAAAGAAATGCTTGATGCTGTCTGATGGAAAGACCCTATTTTATCAAGATGTCACATTTCTCCCATATCATTGTAAGTATGATGTCATGTTAACCAAATTCCTTTCTTTCCATATACATAAAATGTAATATATACACATATATACATGAGAAGTATTTATGAGTGTGTATACACACACACTCACAAACACATAGACTCACACACACAAATGCTATTTGTGTATATGTGAGGGAGGTAAGAATATGGAAAGATTTGACAAAATGATTCAAAAATTCATCTTGAACAGGGGCTGGCAAACTAAGGCCTTCAAGGACCAATGAGCCCACAGCCTGTTTTATAAATGAGTTTCGCTGGAGCAAAGCCTTGGTTATTACTGTCTACTTTGTACTATGGAAGGACATCTGAGGAGCAGTGACAATGGCCTCCAGAGCCTGTCGCATTTACTATCCGGTCCTTTTCAGAAAGTTTGCTGACCTCTGACCTAGAAAAATAAATTGGTAAAAACAGCCAAGAACACTTTGCAGAGGAAGAATAAGGACAGCAGGTCTGCTCTATTAGGTGTAGAAATACAATATAATGGTTTGGTGCTGGTACAAAAATAGGCAGATAAATGGAACAAAACAGAAAGCTCAGAAATAAATTTGAGACTATATGAGATTTTAACAGTTGATACAGGTAGCATCTGAAAAGTGGGGGAGAGAATGGACTGTTTGGTATATGCTGGAGAAACTACTGACTAGCACGGGGCGGGGGGGTGGGGGGGAAGCAAGATCAATACCAGGTATCCCTGCCCCCCCCAAATCCACATGAATTAAAAATCTAGGTGTAAGAAATCATAAAGGAACTAGAAAAAGAAAATCTCTGTTCTTGGGCACAGCCTTTATAAACATACACAAAAAAGCCAAAACATCCAAGGAAAAGACTGATCAAGTAGACCGGTGAGATTTTAAATTTTTATGTTTCAAAAAAAATCATTTACAGTATTAAAAAGCAAATGACAAAATGGAGAAAAGATTTTTCTAGCACAAAACAGACAAAAGAGTAATATTTTGCAAGTGACAGGAAAACCAGTTTCATTAAAAAATAAATGGCCAACAAACACATGATTACTAGCAATTGAAATAAAATGCCATTTTTTCACTGAGAGGTTTAGAGACCAAAAGACGTAGAACACCCAGTGTTGGCAAGGGTCCACAGAGGCAGGCACTTGTATCCAGATCAGTGAGAGTGGGCATTACATGTACCACAGCATTACTGGTGGGCAAACGAGCCCCGCGAACGCATACACTCTGAGCCAGGAATCCCACCTCTGGAAAGAAACCACTAAGTTCCCATGACTCAGATGGCCTTCACTCATTAAGTATTAACAGTATCTACTATGTTGCCTTGTCTGAGCAACAGAGTAACAAGTCTTTATTTCTAAGGAGCTGTCATGAGAGTGTGGAGAGTCAGTCGTAGGAAAGGAAACAACAAGAACAAAGTAATTTCTGCTGGCCTAAGGAAACTGCAGAGATACTGAGGGGAGACTTTTGGGTAAGAATGCTGATTACACTACCTTTTCTAATAGCGAGTGAGTACTGTGGATGGTGTTAAAATTATGTTTTTGAAGAATACTTCCAGATTCAGGAAATATAACACATTAAAAGAAAAATAGAGGTTGCAAACATCATGTATTTTGTGATTTCAACTTACATCTAATAAAATATCAATAAAGATAAGTCAGAAAAGCAGACTGGAGAAACAGGTACCAAGTGTTAATAGTGTTCATCCTCAGGTTATGGAATTATGAGTGATTTTCATTTTCTTTTTTGTGGCTTTTTATAGCATCCAAATTACCCACAGTAAATACTATTTCCTTTACAAGTAAAACAAAAAACAAAACAAAACAAAAAAACTGAGGAAATTATTAAAGAGGTCAGAGAAAAGAGGCTGCCACTGATCTCTTTGTAGGATTGCCATGGTATTTGTTTTCTTTTTATTAACATATAATGTATGATTTGTTTCAGGGGGACAGGTCTGTGAATCGTCAGTCTTACACAATGCACAGCGCTCACCTAGCACATACCTTCCCCAATCTTCATAACCCAGCTACCCTACCCCCTCCTTCCCCCTGCCCTCCCGCAACCCTCAGTTTGTTTCCTGAGATTAAGAGTCTCTTATGGTTTGTCTCCTTCCCTGGTCCCACCTTGTTTCATTTTTCCCTCCCTTCCCACCATGGCCCCCGTGCCCTGCCTCTCAAATTCCTCATATCAGAGAGAGCTCTGATTGACTTATTTCACTCAGCATAATACCCTCTAGTTCCATCCACGTCATTGCAAATGCCAAGATTTCCCTTTTTGATGGCTGCATAGTATTCCAGTGTGTGTGTGTGTGTGTGTGTGTGTGTGTGTGTGTGTGTGTACCACACCTTCTTTATCCACTCCTCTGTTGATGGACATCTAGGTTCTTTCCATAGTTTGGCTATTGTGGACATTGCTGCTATGAACATTGGGGTGCACATGCCCCTTCAGGTCACTACATTTGTATCTTTAGGGTAAATGCCCAGTAGTGTGACTGCTGGGTTATAGGGTAGCTCTATTTTCAACTTTTTGAGGAACCTTCATACTGTTTTCCAGAGTGGTACAGTGGTGTTTCATCAGAAATTATTTGCCAGGGGCACCTTGGTGGCTCAGTGGGTTGAAGCCTCTGCCTTCAGTTCGGGCCATGATCTCAGGGGCCTGGGATTGGGCCCCACATCGGGCTCTCTGCTCATCAGGGAGCCTGCTTCCCCCCCCCGCCGCCTGCCTCTCTGCCTACTTGTGATCTCTCTCTCTGTCAAATAAATAAATAAAATCTTTAAAAAAAAAAAAGAAATTTTTTGCCAGCTTCTTGGATCTCTTTTTGTGAGCTGACAT